GTTTTCTCAGTCTTCTTAGTCTTCTCAGTCTTTTTATATTCTCGGTAAGTTTTCCACTACTGGGTAGTCTTAATGATGTCTAAAGAAGAAGGATATCTATGTACAGGGAAGGCCTTCATATACCAATGACTAGGCCGAATGAGTACTAGTGGTAGCGAGTGTTGAGTTACCGACATATTTTGATCTGGGGGTTAAAAGCTTAATGTGTAGATCGTGCGCGGGACGCTGCATTAGTACGGACGGGGGACTGTCGGAGGGGGACTGTCCGGAGTCAAGTTGGAATACGTGGGTTTGGACTGCTTCCCAGACCTGTTGCCAGACTACCGCTGGGAGCCCGTCTGGACCAGGAGCTTTCAGCGGTTGCGCTTTGAAAATTGCTGTTTTGATTTCGTCGTCTGTAACTGGTCCCATATAGACCGGTCTGGTCGGGGCTGCGTTTGGTTCGTCGGCGATTTCTACCGGCAGTGGTGGAAAGAACCGTTGTAGTAGTACTTCACTTTGGTCGATTGGGTCTATCGCTTTGGTCCGATCCGGTCTCTGCAAAGGGGGAACCTTATCAAACGCCCCCGCTTGGGCAGGTCGTAAGTATTTTGAAGCTTTCCGAATATTGGTCGTATCGGCTAGGAAATCTTCCCAGTGTTGCTTCTTCCTCGCTCGAATCCCGTCGTGGTATTCTTTAGCCTTCTGTTTAGCCTGTCGTTCAATCTCAGGCTGGAAGTTCTGTCAGAGCTGACGTCCACCAGCGTTTTGCGTATGGGCTTGGCTTCGCTTTGGGGGTTAAGGAAAGTACTACTGACTCTACCACCTGTATCAAGTGGTCCGTCTGACTTTGGATTGATCCTTGCGGCGGTCTCAATTCTGCCGTAATTCTGTCCCGAATCCTACCCCAAGGGGCCGATTTCCATAGGTATCGAGTCGGCTGGACCGGCTGCGGTGCTTCAATGTCGAATTGAGACGCAATCGCCCTGTGATCGGAACCATGTTCTATATCGTATACTTGGCAGCGAATCATCCCTTCGGCAAGGGCCGGAGATGCCAGCGTCAGGTCAATTGTCGTCTGAAACGGCCCCTGTTGGAACGTTGGGGTGCCTCTTGGTAAGAGGCTCTGAAGATTGTAGTTCGACATTAGGGGTTTTCAGAGTAACTCCGTGGGAATATTCAAAGTGTGGAATTTTCAGATTTCTTACTGTGGAATATTCGGCTACCCTGAACACCCCGCTGTTAAATAAACCTGATTTCTATGGAATTTTCGGAAATTCGCTTATTAGCCCTAGCCCTATGTAATTATAGTTCGAGAAAGATTTCTTCTCTTCCCCGTAGTAGTATTATTCTTCTTATCTATTCTTAGTAATTATATCTTATCTATCAAATAAGAAAAAATATAGATAAGAGATCTTTTATCTCTAGATAAAAAGTCGTAAGAGATACGATAGTAGTTATCGTATAATAAGAAGATAGCGAGTAGTTTATAAAGTCTTAGTCGAAGAATATTATATAGAGTTATAAGTCTTTATATTTAAATTAGATTAAATAAGAAATATTCTTTCCAAATACTCTAATATATAATAACGATTCTTTACATATATGAGTTTCGAGAGCTTTCGCTATATTCTTAATCTTATATTAAATAATTCTATTTTTTATAATAACGCTAATCTCTAATAAGCTTTAATTGAGATATAGTTAAAGATCGCTTTATAGAGGCTAGAAAATAATGAAAGTATAAGTGAATTTCGTTTTTTAGCTAGTTAATGGGGTGTTTTAGAAGAATATATTAATAATTATATACGAAGAGTAATAATAGCTCTATTTTAGTTACGAGAATAATATATTAAGTAATCTTTCGTAATAGAACGACGATAAGAAAGTATAGAAAACGATAAATAAGAAGGCTTTCTTAAAGTAATAGAAAAAGTCGATAATATAGATATTATACTATAATATAAATCTAGAGAAGAGTTTTATAATAAAGTCTTCTAGAATAAAAAGAAGTAATATACTCTAAATCTTTATAAAGTATATAATTTATTAAAGAAATTCATCTATATATTTATTAACTTCTTAAATATTATTTATAATACTAGAGTATAGAATTATACTCGTCTATATTAAGATTTCGAGATTTATTTCTCGAAAGATTAATATATACTCGATAATAATATATATACTAATATAAAGTATATAGTTATATTATATAAAGTATCTTATATAAGATAAAAGTGAATTTAAAAGTTTAATAGACGACTTTCAAGTATTAGAATAAATATTAAATATATATTTAATATTTTTAAAGAGAGATAAAAGAGTCTTATAGAATTAAGATTAAGATTAAGAATTAAGAAATAATACGAATTTACTTATATATAAATTACTATTTATATTATTCTTTATAATATTTTATTTAATCTTAATAATATTTAAAGCGAAGAAGAAGAATAAAAAAATATCGAAGAAGAAGAGGAGTATAATAATAAGCTTCTTAGCCTTATATCTTAATAGTAAACTAGAGAATATAGTAAATAAGAGGCTATAAGAGCTATAGTACTCGATAAAGTCGATTTTTAATTATTTTTATATCTCGCACTAAGATATTAAAAGTGCTACGATCTCGATAACTATATAATTAACTCTCTAGCGAACTTTATATTATTCGAAAGAGTAATATTTAAAATATTTAAATTCTTTATAACGATTTAAACGATAAAGAAATAAGTGTAGTAAACCATCGTAAAGAAAAAAGAAAAATTTTAAATAAATAATTAAAGTGCGAGATGAGATACGGGCGCGAAAGTTATATAATTAAATTTTATATCTTTAGCAGCTAATAATAAAACGAAAAAAACACGGGAACTAAGTCTAGTGCGAACGATTTTGATATAAAAATATATACTTATTCTTTATAAAATACTTACGATATTTTATTTTAATAATTTTAGCGTACTTACGAAGAAGATTTTCTTCTCCGCTACTATATCTTTCTTTAACTATACTTTAAATTAATTTATAAATATATTAAAAAGAATAAATTAGAAGAATTCTAGTTTATTAAGTTAATATAGTATATAATATAAGTAGAATATAGTATAGAATTATAGATAATTATATATAAGCAAGATATTATTCAGATTATTCGCTCTATCGCTCTTCTTACGAAGTTCGAAATCCATTATTTATATTCACGTTAAAGTCGTTATTTGACGACCTATATCCGTTAAATTCTTACTATTACTATTATTTATTCTCTTTCTTCTTTAGCTTTAATTAAATACGTAAGAGACTCTCGAAACTTTAATTAGTTTAATACTATAGATAAAGTATCTTAGTAGTATAATAATATTTACGCTGTTAATACTCTAATTTAAAACGTCGTTTACGTTTCTTTTACTTTATTTCATACTACTATTAATATTTTTTAGCCTCTTCTCTTAAACGAATATCTATGAGTTTAGCTTTTTTCAATATAGCTTTCGTTATTATAGACCATTCCTTTATCTTCTTTCAACGCTCGCGTATAGATATCTTAATCTCCTTCTCACTGTTCGAGTTATTATAGATCTTTCTCTTAATCTTTTTTCTAGATCTCTCTTTAAAAGCTTTTTTAAGAGTTTATTTAATAGGCTTAAAGAAGAAGAATTATTCGATACTTTGAATAAGGGGAACTATTCTAGAGCGAATAGCTAGTAAAGTACTAGTAATTATATAAGCGAGTGAAAGGTTAAGAATATTATCGTTATCGTTCGTATCTAATATGAAAAGAAGTATTTATTTAAGTATAATCTTTATTATTATCTCTTATTCTTTAGTCTTTATAATTCTTTCGATCTATAAATGGATCGAATAATCAAAATCCGAATCTGTCGAGTTATTCTCTTTTTATCTATTATCGTCTTCGTTATTAGTAGTATTAAATTCTTTAAGATCGATCTTCTCGATAGTCTAACTATTACGGCGAGGTGGTTATTTAGATTCGATAATAAGTATAGAATTTACAGTAGAATAATCTTAATAGAGGTCGTCGAATTCGTAATATCATAAATACTTCTTTAGAATATACTCGTTAACTATAGATTTACTCTCTACGATACTCTCTTTATAAGTCTTAACGTTCGTTCTCTAATTAGATCCTTCGATTATCGTTTATATATTCTTATACTTCTTAATTATATCTTTAATCTTATTAGCGATCTTCTTCTTCTAGACTAACGACTTAATTATTAATTCTATATCTTCGAGTATTTTCTAACCTCTATCGATATAATTATCTTTACTTTAATTCTTATAATTATAAGACTTACTCTTCTTATTTTATATATAGAATTAATTAATAATAAGATCTATATCTTATTACAACCATTTGATCTTAGAGTTATAAGTTTTTTAAGTATTAGAGAAAGTAATAATAGAAGTAATAGTAAAAGTAATAATAGGCTTTCTCTTTTCTATTATAATATGTTAAAAGAATATAGACGTATAGAAGATAGATAGAAAGAATAGAAAGGCTTAAATAATATACTCGAAATTTACCTGAAATAGTCACGTGAAGTATCTACGAATATCCGAATGTCTGAATATTTGAATATTCCATAATAACCGTACTTTTTTGGCGATTATTCTCGAAGATGGAATCGTCGGAGTTTCGGAGTTTCAGTGATTCCACGCGGAAAAAAGTTACTCTGAAAACCCCTAATATTAGATCGAGGATCGGTTCGGCTTCCCCTTGGCGGGTTTCCGATAACGACTCGCCCCCCCCATAGGTGATCGTGTCTATTGAAATCGCCTAGGAGTAAAATGTCCATTTCGTCGAGCTGCTATCGCTCAGCTGGCCGCCTCAGGCCACAACAAGCTTGCGTCCGGCGCAGCCGCTATCTATCGCGATCTGGTGAGACTCTACCGGTGCTTTGATGCCTACAACACCGTTGTCTCAATCCTGCTTGCCACGGACCAACCTGCGTATTCGCCTGGATGGTCCTGTATTGTAGGATTCTCTCAGTACCCCACCAATGACGCAGCTTATGAAAGCGTCGCCCGGTATCCGACTTTCCCTAGGTGACGTCTACCAGGAGCCTCCCACACGAATGACGAGTTCGTACGAATCATCCTATTATTTGGACCCAATCCAATACCTCAGGACCTCTTTGGACTTCCTTAGAAGTTCTTTTCCGTCTCCTTTAGCTTTAGGATCTCCTTGCTGGCTGATACTATACTTGGCATTACTTCCTTACAGGTTCTAAAGAAAGGGTCGCTCATCCCAACTGACATAGCCGAGTCATCCAGCGACCGGAAAGGTCTCCAAATCCTGTTCGGGCCCTCTCTCGTATGGATCTTTGATCTTGTGATACCATTGGAAACCTTCCCAGATGCTAGCCTGAGCATAATTCCGTATATGAGCTAAGCTCAGCCCAGTGATCATGCCGTTCTGACTCTGCCCCTTGTAGAGAAAGAAGCAAATCATAGCTTAAGCAATATTCTTTTAAAGATGTCTCCATCGATGTCTGAATCCGAATCATCACGGTGCAGAAAAAAAATGATGATAATCCTCACTGACTTCGATATACCTGAAGGCAGCGATGTGGTCAAAGAATTTCGGGCGCGTTGGGAGGTCTGTCCAATAGTAAACGCTATGCCTGTTGGTTCAAAACTGATATACGGCGTATGCTAACTATTTGTTCATCCCATTTAAAGCGTTTCGCCAGACAAGGCAGTCCAGATCCTCGTGATCTGAGAGGGGTAAGTTTCGCCGAGGTGATGTCGAGACTGTTGCTGATCTGCTCCCTTCGACAGAGATTCCATCGATTCAGACATACCACCCTCTCCTCTTCGACGCCTATCTCAACAGTGACGATTCCTCGCTCGCTAAGGACATAACACTCTCGGTGGTCGGGCCATTGACGCTATCAGGCAAGACCTCGAATTTGGCAACGGAGAGTATGATGCGAATTACAAGAGGCCTGTCTTTGTGAAAGTGAGTAAGGCAACGGCGACAGACAGCTCTTTCCGGCTATTTGGAGATGAGCTAAAGAAACGCCAGAAGATCTACAATGCGGTCCTCTTCGTTGTATCCCACCGCGCCATTTTTAAATACCGCGCTCGCAAGACTATAAAGGCGGCCTACGAGCAGAGGTTTTATGTGTCGGAGAAGCAGAAGGCCAACTTGAAAGGGTAATCTAAGCCGGGTACGGATTCTGCATAGTAATATCGCGATGTGACTACTACTTTGAACTGCTGGAAGACTACTAAACATTAGTGGATTACTAGGGCTAAACGCAGGTGGAGAAACTTAGACCATCCGGACTCGGATCATAAGGAACGTGTTTCCTAATACTTCTTTCCCGGCTTTATCTTCGCCGCTGATTGTGGTGTGGAGTCAAGGATCCTCTGGACTAGGATGCGGCATGGAACTATGTATATTGGCTTAGCACCCGGATTTTGGACCGTTGCTCGAGTGCACCTGTACAACTACAACCTTGTCTGTGCGGTCCTTTCGTTCTTTGTCAACCCCAAATTGGATCCCGGGACCGCCGCTGCCACTTTTTCTACCGCTTTCTGAAGTAGAGTTTTATCGATGGACTCGATCTGGCGTTTCCAGCCATTGCCCTGTTCGGAGTGGACGAGAACGATCGGCCTCTCTGGTCGGCTCATGCAACATCAGACCCAAGCAAGCAACAAGTAAGTTCTATCCTTGATATATTCAGACTTTCCTGCGTGGCTTTCTGACAAGATTTAGCCCGCTCGCAACACGAACCGTACGGACATCATATCTGGGCCATAGTTGTCTTGGAGCTGACACAATTGCCTTTTCAAGCTCCAATTGGCAGTATCAATACAATGTTGGGCGGTATTGTCAGGGAGGCGTTGTCTGTGGCAGCGAGGGTTGTCATGGGTTTGATTTCGGCTATTTCTGTCGTATTCGGAGGGGCGTTTTGCCGTACACGCCGAACAACTTAAAGCATAGATCTAGAACATTCAGTCATTTACATACTGTGTCTTTATCGTCCAGATGCGGCAGGGGACCAATTGATAGGGCAGTTACGCCATTTCAGACTTCAGTGGAGTGTAGGTAGGGGTGCTTTAGAGCCTCTGCAGCGGTTGGTCTTTTGGTGTGGTCCACGATGAGGAGAGAATCGATGAAGTCTAGGAGCCCCGGATCCACCTTGGGGCCAGATAGAGATTCAAGCTCCTGACGTAGAGTGCTCACGTCAATATAAGGTACTGGCCCATCGATTTCAGGATGTATATATGTGCCCATAGATAATTCACCAGCCATACGGAATTCCGACTCGTACTCCGGGTTTTGGACAGGTGGACCCAGTGGGCCAATTAGTCGGTCGATCTTGGCAATGCACCAGGATTCGGTAAGATCTTCAACGACTTTATCACTAATACCGAAGATGGCCTTATGCCCCAGCCAGTGCGCGAGCTGGTCCGTTAGCTGGGTTCTGAGGTAGAGGGTGCGACTACAAACCGTGACGCCAAGTGACCATATATCAGACGACGGCCAGCAACCCAAGCCTCGCCATACCTCCGGCGCCCTACACCCAATAGGTTGTATGCGATATTTGTTGAAGCCCTCCCGCATCACTGAGATCGTCAGAGAAAAATAGATATGGTTTATCCAAGTCACGTACGGTTTCCAAGATCTCCCAACTTCACCACCGGAGAAGCGCTGTCAATATTTGACAGAAAGATATTGTTCGGATTGACATCTGATCTTGTTAACACCACCGAAGTGACCTCAAGAACAGAGAGAGCTAACCGGTATGCATCGCATTTGCAGATGCGAAAATATCGAGTGCTTCCAAAACCGAACGGGCAATCATCTTGGGAAGGACAGATTTTTCGCGGTATGGCTCTGCGCGCACGTTCCACAAAACATGCTCCATCCATTCGAAAACCAAACATGGCGGGTCCTCGGAGGTCTTGTCAAAGCCAGCACGACCGCGCCCCTCAACCATATCCCATTGTCCGACAACATCATGAAGCTTTCTTATGAAGGGGTTAGTCTTGACAGGACCGGGCCCCTCGTATATCTCATACTCGCGGACAAGAGCCATTCTTTCCATTGCAGGCGATCGCTGACCTGGAGTTTTTGGGATGGATTCTTGCGGGGTGGGTGGAGGGGCGCTTTTGATCATGAAACTGTAATCTATGAGTTGTGGGCTGGTACGGACAGCGGGGAAATTGAGACTTGCAATCTAGGTTCGGCATCAGGGACGTGTACAGACTGTGCTTTGAAGATTGTGTTGGACCTCAAGGGCTCAAGCAATCTGTAGGCGCCCTTTGCCCCTTTGAGGACACGGTTAGATCGGAGTGACATCTTGTGACAATGCCTGCTTCCCGATCATATCATAAAAAGTGAAGCTCCAATGTTGTACACCTGGTAGGCCATGCGCAGGTCAAATCAGCCTAGCCTATGACTTGTATTAGGCATTGTCATAGGGCTGAACCTCGCAATAGGGCTGAAACCTCTTATCATTGCACCGCCACGTCCGCACACGCCGGCTTCTCGAACAACCTCGACTCTTCCGTCCCCGCAATCGAAAAGACCTGTTGAGGTACGTCGTGGCAAAGAACATTGCCCCAGCAGCCTCATCAGAGCGAATACAGCAACCTTGCGATGGCGAGCCCTACCCCAGTGTGATGGAAGAGCTGCGAAGTCACTCCTCGAAATCGGGAATATTGACCAATATCGGCATCGTTGATGTACTGCGCAGATGGCACCCCAACCACAGTGTTACGCAGACACCAAAATCGACAGGGATTCTCAAATTGGCAAAAGCTGGCTATGGTGATGCAACGCTGGATACCGGCAATGATTTCTATGCATCACGGATCTATAAGCCAGCCACTGATGACCAGAGGGGCACCGGGCGTCTGAAAGACAAAGTGGAGTTTGGGAGATAGAAATATCGTTGGGAAGACCGGGACTTCCAGGTGTACGTTGCGGACTATTGGGAGACTGAATATTCTCAGGTGAGAAATCACTACATACTATATCCACGAAGCCAAGGGGATGTTATAAATGGGCGGTCCCAGACCGTGGACAACCTTATCACTGCCGCCACGCAGCGTCTGTCCGAGATCAAAGAAGAGATATGGGTGTATGATCGAGGGTATTGGAGCAAAAACCACAAGCTCTGGAAGAACGTGCAAGGTTGCAAGTGGGAAAACGTGATCCTCAATGATGAGATGAAGCTTCAACTCATCAGCGATATTCGAGGCTTTTTCGACCGCAAAGAGGACTACAAGTCGTTCGCAGTGCCCTGGAAGGTAAGTGAGTACCGAGTTCCGTTGGCCCCATTCGTCCTGATGCCTTCAAAGCCATTGGTCCAAGGTGCTCTGGCCCAGTTTCTTGCTGCTCGTTTTGGATCCGTTAAGTTGATGATTGCAGCGTGGGGTCATTCTTCATGGCCTGCCCGGAAACGGAAAAACAATCTCCATCAAGGCTCTGATGCGCTCTCTCGCTTCCCGGTCAACGCCCATCCCAAAGCCAATAGCGCACACTACACACGATCAGCCCCGAGCATGTTGTGAGATTCCAAAAAAGATTCAAAGGCGCCTTTCTGAGGCGGGGTCTGTAGCGGTATGGTGGGTTTGGGACATTTTTCAGCGTTCTAGCCCGTATATAGCATGACGTCGATGGTTGTACGGACAGGAATCTGATTCGCTCTTATCATGCCTTTCATTTATCACGTACACTGAGATTCCGATTTCGGGGTAGCAATCGCTTTCATCCAGATGATGGGAGTGTGCTGGTCGCCTGTCTCTAAAAGCGATTGGACTTCAAAAGCACGTGAAAGAAGAATAGGCCGCCTGCAGCTGGCACAGCCACAATGCATCTTGCAGTTCTTCCAATTAATCATTAAACACTCTCTAATTCTAGACGGCAAGATCATCATGCAGCGCTGCTGCACACAGTCTTGTTGGTCGCTTGAAAACGACCGTTGTGGAATTTGATTGATCCTCCTCAATATACAGTAATAAGACATCTTTGCAAGCCTTCGGAACTGATTATCTCCGGATCCGTCGGTCTCACCGTCGCGCTGTTGGTGACGCCCGAGTCAGGTTCAGCTCTAAGACTGGTTTATGAGATGACTCCTCCTGTATTGAACGAGCCGCTGTATTAGCACAAGCTCAAAGAGACTGCCTCTGTGCCAACTGTGGACCTCATTATTCGCTGTGAATTTCTCTTTCCTTTTCCTTTCTTCGCAGCCTTATAGCACGCGTGCGGCCTCTTGGATATCTGGTGCTTCGTAGTCGTCAGTGTCATGGTACTAGCTGCTTGTAAATATATCACTCTGGTATCCATGGTCTGCCGGGACCTTTCGTCCAGCTTTTTGGGTAGTTGTTTGAGACTTCAAGCTCTGCATACCTCCAGCAACGCCTTCGGTCTTGCAGAGACATGATGTCCTACATCGGTCATATCTCATCACGAAAAAATCTACCTTGACATGACGGCCTACATCGAAGTCTTGACCGGCCTCTTCCTCTTATCAATACCCACCGCCTTGCTTTGGCGCGTCAAAACCGACCTCCGGCGCAAGACGGCCACAGGGACCGTGTTAATTCGTTCTATTTTCATGATCGCCATCGCCATCATCCGCGTGGCGCTTGCGCCTCTCGGAAACGACGTCACGGACTCCGTCTGGATATTCCTCTGGCAGTCCGTGGAAGCTGCAGCGGCAGTCTTCTTATTCTCCTTGACCGCCGCCCGCTCGCTTAATGGTCAGACGAAGAACGAGGAAACTTCGAGGAAGTCGCCGCTGTCACAACGGGTACACCAATATGGAAACTCTGAGTAAGAGTGGCGAAATAAATACGGAAGGCTTCGGTCAGGTACGATCTTCAAAACTGGCTTTTGAAACATTGCTGTAATGACTGTCTTTTTTGTCTTCTGACGCGGTAGAAATATGTTACTAGAACGTGTACTTAAATTTACTACTCTGGTAAATCATCATAGGTACTTTAAGGTAGGATGACATTTTCAAGATCTCAAGATTATAGGGTTGTTAGTTGACTGCTGTATTTTTGCCAGGTTTCGTCAGTAATTTTTCTCCGGCTGCTTCCGCTGTTTCTACGGTAAACTTTTCCGCGAGGCGCTAAATGTTTTTTGGTGACGATCTCTCGGATCCAAAAGTTTCGAGTAGTGCTACCGTCAACGCCTCTTCGACCATTCTACTTCTTATCATCCTGCTCCGGTGTAAGTGCGAGGTGACTCAAGATGGTGGTCATCACCCGCTCATTGGTACCGATACTACGGGCGAGCCGACTTGCTGTACGGCAGCAAAAGGGCGTCAACCCTGTACAGCAAGTCTTCGGGAGAGATACAAATGGAATACGGGGGCTTGCTACGGCCTTTGAGCGGTCGAAACCCCATGTCAACATCGGTACGGGACTAGCGGTGTATGCAATGGACAATTGAAGCTGATTCGAACAGGCACCATTGGTCACGTCGACCACGGCAAGGTACGCGCATTGCCAGATCGGAGTGCGCAGAACCAGTGCTGATGCTTGATTTAGACCACCTTGACCGCTGCTATCACGAAACGACAGGCTGAGAAAGGCATGGCCAACTTCCTTGAATATGGCGCAATTGATAAGGCACCCGAAGAGCGGAAGCGTGGTATCACCATCTCCTCAGCACATATCGAGTACAGCACGGAGGCACGGCATTACTCCCACGTCGACTGCCCCGGGCACGCAGATTACGTCAAGAACATGATTACGGGTGCTTCAAGTATGGACGGAGCTGTTATCGTGGTGGCTGCTTCTGATGGGCAAATGTGGGTGGCGCACGGGACATTTGGATCGTGAGCAGAGGTTGACCGGATACAGGCCGCAGACAAGAGAACATCTCCTCCTCGCGCGACAAGTCGGAGTCCAAAAGATTGTGGTGTTCGTCAACAAGGTCGATGCGATAGAAGACAAAGAGATGTTAGAGCTTGTGGAAATGGAGATGAGGGAACTACTGACGACCTACGGTTTCGAAGGAGACACTACGCCTATCATTCTTGGTTCCGCTTTGTGTGCGCTCGACGGTCGACAACCCGAGATAGGGGTGCAAAAGATCGATGAGCTGCTGAACGCGGTGGATACGTGGATCCCAACACCACAGCGTGAGACCGAAAAACCCTTCCTCATGTCCGTTGAAGACGTGTTTTCCATTCCAGGCCGTGGTACTGTGGCCACGGGACGAGTGGAGCGTGGTATCTTGAAGAGGGATTCCGAGGTCGAGCTCGTAGGCAAAGGCGAGCATCCCATCAAGACCAAAGTCACGGATATCGAGACCTTCAAGAAGTCCTGCGACGAGTCGAGAGCTGGCGACAACTCTGGACTTTTGCTTCGCGGTGTCAAGCGAGAAGACGTGAAGCGAGGCATGATCATTGCCAAACCAGGTTCTGCGAAAGCGCACAAACAATTCTTGTGCTCAATGTACGTCCTCACAAAGGAGGAGGGCGGCCGCCACACTGGGTTTTCGGATAACTACCGGCCACAGATTTTCATGAGAACTGCTGGTATATTTCCTTGGCTCGCATGGATTGCATGCACTCGTACTGACTCATCACGCAGATGAAGCCGCCGCTCTACACTGGCCAGCGGACGTCGAAGATCGCTCCAAGATGGTTATGCCGGGAGACAACGTCGAGATGACGTGTGATATCTACAACCCAATCGCCCTCGAGAGTGGACAGAGGTTCAACATACGGGAGGGTGGACGTACGGTAAGCTACTCTTCGAATTCCTTTTCCATAGAGAGCATTTGGAATCGCTAGCCATGATCCGGGAGTAACATACTGCTGATGCTTTTCATATGTGACTTGAAAATTGTCTTGGAGAGGCAACGCTGACTCTAGTACTCGGTAGGTCGCCACCGGCCTGGTCACACGAGTCATCAAATAATTCATCATACACCGCCCGACAGATACCGCCGCGGTTGCGGTGATTGCGGGTGTTCCTTGGGGGACCGCTGGTGTACATAAGGTCAATCGCTTCACCAAGTTCATTAGGGAAGCTGGTGTTCGGCGGATCCCCATGGGTACGATGCCGAGAGCGAGCAAGCAATCTTCCAGCCTTCTGTAGCTTCTTGTACAAAAGTCTCTTGTCCGGCTAGCTTGCCTTCTTAGCGAGAACCCACTCTACACTGGCGTTGGTAGCATCTCGTTGTTTGTAGCATAGCAAATGAAGCACCCTAGGCGAAAGAAGATTGAGCATGCGCACCTCAAAATCTAGCCTGCAATGCCCTACAATTGTAAAGAGAAAACGTATGCTTCACATCTAAAAGTACAATAGGTGTAGTCTGAGTCATGCCCCGCAAGCGAGATTTTCTTCTCGACCGCAACACTTAACACCATCCCCGAATCGATATGGACCATCCCATGAATCGATCTTCTTCATATCCTTAAAGGCACGAACATGTCAGGCAATCCTCAAGATGCCTGTCGTAAGTCCAGAAAAGCTCATCGGGCTTCAGCGCAATGCCGATGAAGTCAGAAATGTATGCATTCCAATGTCCACATTCATTTCATGAGCTGATATAAAATTAGATCTGTATACTCGCCCATGTCGTAAGTAGTTGGTTCGATATGCCTTCAAGGACATATTCTGATCCAAGTTTTAGGACCATGGCAAAACCTCCCTCACCGACGCCCTCATCGCCACCAATGGCATCATCTCCCCCAAACTCGCCGGCAAAATCCGCTATTTAGATTCCCGCCCTGATGAACAGCTCCGCGGCATCACAATGGAATCATCAGCCATCTCTCTCTACTTCTCTTTACTCCGTCGCTCAGCGCCGGAAGCTTCTCCTGTGCAGAAAGAGTATCTAATCAATCTAATCGATTCACCCGGCCATATCGACTTCAGTAGCGAAGTCAGCACGGCGAGCAGATTATGCGATGGAGCGCTCGTGCTTGTCGATGCGGTAGAGGGTGTTTGTAGCCAGACTGTCACGGTGCTGCGGCAGACGTGGACGGAGCATTTGAAGCCGCTTTTGGTTATCAATAAGGTTGATAGGCTGATTACAGAACTCAAGATGAGTCCTGGGGAGGCATTTACGCATCTGAGTAAGCTACTAGAGCAAGTGAATGCGGTGATTGGGAGTTTTTTTCAGGGTGAGAGGATGGAAGAGGATCTGCAGTGGAGGGAGAGGGTTGAGCAGAGGGTCGCTGCTGCGGCAGCGAAAGAGGTCGAGAGGGCGGAGAGGAAGGCTACAAAGGGGTCTATGGCTGAAGACTCGGAAAGTGTTGCTACGAGTGGTACTACTGGTGAGTTTGAGGAGAAAGATGATGAGGATCTCTACTTTGCTCCGGAGAAGAACAATGTCATTTTCAGCAGTGCTGTCGATGGGTGGGCTTTTACCGTCCGGCAGTTTGCTTCGCTCTATGAGAAGAAATTGGGCATCAAGCGCTCCATTTTGGAAAAAGTTCTCTGGGGAGATTTCTATCTGGAACCCAAGACGAAGAGAGTATTGGGCTCTAAGCACCTGAAAGGTAGAGCGCTGAAGCCGATGTTCGTGCAACTGGTTCTTGATAACATCTGGGCTGTTTATGAAGCCACTACAGGTGGAAGCAAAGGCAAAGGAGATCCGGCAACGGTTGAGAAAATCACAAAGTCGCTCTCTCTCATAATACCGCCGCACGTACTACGTTCGAGGGATCCCAGAGCTATTATGACTACAGTCTTTTCCGCATGGCTGCCTTTATCGACTGCTGTCCTAGTGTCAGTCATCGAGCATCTCCCTGCTCCGCCAGCGGCGCAAGCGAGCCGTCTTCCTGCACTGATTGACGCGTCACCCGGAGCAAAACATGTTGATCCAATGATTCGGGAAGCAATGGTCAATATAAAATCGAGCGAAGATGACCCAGTGGTAGCCTACGTCAGCAAGATGGTAGCAGTGCCTGCAAGCGAAATGCCGCAGAACAAGCGAAAAGGAGGTGGTGCCATGACAGGCGAGGAGGCACGAGACCTAGCTCGAAAAAAGCGAGCAGAGTTTGAGAAGGCCCAGGCAGCTGTGAACGGAGAAGCCGATCTCAACGGAATGACGCAAGCCCTTGATGAGTCAAATCTGACCGACGCCAATGGTGACAATGCGATAGGCGAAGTGAAAGAAGACCCAGAATATTTGATTGGCTTTGCAAGGCTGTACTCAGGAACCCTTTCTGTTGGTGACTCCGTCTATGTTCTCCCACCCAAATTTTCACCAGCCTATCCGCATAACGCGCCTGAGCCTCAGAAGGTCATAGTCACTGGCTTATACCTACTTATGGGCCGAGGACTCGAAGCATTGACATCTGTACCCGCGGGTGTTGTCTTCGGTATAGGCGGTCTTGAAGGTCATGTCTTGAAATCCGGTACCCTCTGCAGCCAGCTCGAGGGCGCTGTGAACCTTGCTGGCGTCAATATGGGAAGCCAGCCGATCGTTCGCGTTGCGCTTGAGCCGGTCAATCCTGCTGACCTGGAGAAGATGATTAGGGGGATGAAGTTGCTTGAGCAGAGTGACCCTTGCGCGCAGTACGAGGTGCTGGAGAGTGGCGAGCATGTGATACTGACAGCTGGGGAGTTGCACCTTGAACGATGTCTAAAGGATTTGAGAGAGAGATTTGCGAAATGTGAGATCCAGGCTGGAGAGCCCATTGTGCCATACCGAGAGACAATTGTGAGTGCTACTGAGATGTCCCCACCCAAGAACAAAGACCTCCCACGAGGGACCGTTATTGGTGTCACGACTTCAAAGCAAGTTACGGTGCGTTTGAGAGTCAGACCCCTGCCGGATGCCGTGACAGAGTTCTTGCTGAAGAATGCTGGAGCAATACGGCGACTTTATTCTGAAAGGAAAGAGCAAGAAGAGGGCAAGAAAAGAATGACGGCAGAAGGGGAAAACGTAGAAGAGCAAGCTGAAGCCGACGAGATATCGGTGGCCGCCACTGGGATGCTGTCTCTATTGGACTTCAGAGAAGAGCTTCGATCTGTCTTCGCTGAGGCAAAAGGCCAGGAGCACATCTGGGCTGATGTAGTCGAGAAGATCGCAGCGTTTGGTCCGCGACGAACAGGGCCGAATCTGCTCATCGATGCTACCCAAGACGGGACATGCCAAAGATTGTCAGAAAACTCCTTCAGAATACCGCTCCAGCACAAAACTGACATTCAACAGTCTCCAAGAAACCCACGAAACCCCCGTGACCGACCTCGGAGCCAACAACGACGCCAACAGTAGACCGAACCCCGACACCCTCACCCCGCGAGACTTTTCCGACAAGATATCCTACGCATTCCAACTATCCACAGCCCAAGGCCCCATGTGCCACGAACCGATGCAAGGTGTCGCCGTCTTCCTCGAATCCGTCACCGTTAGCGCCCCCTCAGACGACGAATCCTCCGCGCACGAGAAGCTCGGCCGCCTGACAGGCGAAACGATCAAAACCGTCCGCGACGCCATCCGCCAGGGCTTCATGGACTGGAGTCCCCGCCTCATGCTCGCCATGTACAGCTGCGAAATCCAAGCCTCGAGCGAGGTCCTCGGCCGCGTCTACACGGTCCTCTCCCGGCGCCGCGGCCGCATCCTCACCGAGTCCCTCAAGGAAGGCACGCCCTTCTACCTCATCTCCTCGCTCCTGCCCGCCGCCGAGTCCTTCGGCTTCGGCGACGAGGTCCGCAAGCGCACGTCCGGCGCCGCGCAGCCGCAGCTCGTGTTCTCGGGCTTCGAGCTGCTGGACGAGGATCCGTTCTGGGTGCCGCAGACGGAGGAGGAGCTCGAGGATTTCGGCGAGAAGGGGGATCGCGAGCGGGTTAGCAGGCGGTATGTGGATGGGGTGAGGGGGAGGAAGGGGTTGGTGGTTATGGGGAGGAAGTTGGTGGGGGATGCGGAGAAGCAGAAGACGTTGAAGAGGTAGGGGTGGTTGGGTTCGTTGGATAAGACAGATGATTCGCAGTGTCACGAGAAGTCCAGGTTGGAATCAGTCAGAGATCGCTTAGGAATTCAATCAATGTTTGCAGCATAACTATGGCCCTTATATCAAATTGAAAACACGCCCTCTCTCCCTTCCTCTTCTTCACGGAAGCGGTTCCTGAACCATCCACTGAAAACCAGGCCGAGTCAGAAGCAAGATCCCGCGCCCAAAACAATTCATATCGTTATCGTTATTCCAACATTAGCCCTCCAACAACATCTCCCGACGCTCCACATCTAGCTAATAGCACAGGAAATGCGCGCGATGGACCGATTTCTTGTCGTATTAGCGTCGATATCCACGATCGTCCTAATGCCCCAAGATACCATCCCTATCCCCAACGAACAGGCAAGCAAAGAGTCTCAAACGCTGCCTCCGTCTAACTTGCTCACCATTTCCCTCTCAACGGCAATGGATTTCCGATCCTTCCCTTTAGCATCCCCGAGCCGAAGGAGCTCGATCTTCCACGCATATCCTACCAGAGTCTGCCGCGTGTTGCACATATGTGCCTTGAATTGTGTAATACTAGCAACTTCAAGCCGACACCGTGTAACCCGTCCCCCCCGGGCCATTCTCGGGGCTTCGTTTGTAATTCGTCGTTACTTCGCACACAACTCCCACTCCACCTACCGCTCGTCAAAATTCCCATAATCCCTCGGCCTCCTCATCCAAACCTCCACCTCGACGCCACTCTTCTCGAACAACTCATCCAGATGCATCGGTAGCACCCACCGGAACGGCACGTGTGCGAAACCCTGCGGGTGTTTCCAACGTTCGTTCAGTGTCACTTTTCTTAGCTTGGGGAGAGAGGCCGCGGCGTGCTCGGCGAGCTCCTGCAGCCATGCGTACTGCCTTTTCTCCGTTTCTAGATGCTGCTGGTGCTGAGTTTCATCGAAAGTGGGTGTTAGTTGTTTTTGTTCTTCCTCTTCTTCTTCTTCTTCGCTGCCGAGGATTCTGGAATCGAAGCCGAAGTCGAGCTAGGAATTGTGACCGTGTTGGCATACATATCCTTCGGCAAGGGAAAGACTATTGAGACAAGTAAACGCAATATTTACACCCAAAACCTCCAAAGAAGACGGCAAAAGCCCATAAAGCCCCTTACGCTCTCGATGCGGTCCATTCACACCAAAAACCAACTCACTCGCCACCCTCAGCACCTTCAGCCTCCCAAAATCCCTCAAATCCAACCTCTCTTCTTTCCGACCGGGCCAGCGATCCGTCCCCGCATTAGCAACGACACATAAATCCACCAGCGAGTCCCTCGCCGGCCGCAAACCCGATGCGATATCCGCGGCACTCAGCGGCTCCAGCATTTCCGAGTCGGGGTAACCGCCTCCGAACGGTTCCCGCAACTGGTGACCGGGGGTGAGACAGTGAAGCGTTTGCACAGCGCGGGGGAGGAGGAGGAGGGCGTGCAGGGTTGAGCGGGGGAGGTGGAAGGAGTTGAGGTGGAGGGATTGGAGTGGTGCAGATTTTTGGGCTGAGGGGAGGATTGTTGGTGGTGGGGTTGAGAAATTGAGGGCGTCGATATGGAGGGTGTGGAGGGATGGGAGAGTGGTGATGTAGGTGAAGATGTCGGAGATGGTTGTTTCCCGGTCGGAAATTGGAGATGTGTCATTGGGTTGCGATGGAGGAATGTTGGCGGCGTATACAATTCCCCGGGACCGCCAGCTAGGAGGGTTAGAGAGTGCAGGTTTGGTGGGCGGGATAGTAGATCGTTGGCGAGAAGCGGTATTTTGTCATTCTCGGGATTTGGGTCCTTCCCGACCGTGCCGCGGGCGGAATGTAAGCTTAACCTTGGAATGGTACCTTAAGGTAAACACTAAACATATCCACTAACGAGCCACATGAAACTTGGCATCAATTCCACATGGAACCAAAGACCCTTCAAGTACGCTTCCAATTTATGCTGTTCCGTATTGCTTCGGCTATATTGTATCTTGGAAGCAAACACGACAACCTTCAAGTTATTGCTTGTCGCTAGACATGACGGTTCACCGTGTCACACCCACGCTATCTAGAAAGGTTTGGGATTTCTTACTGGTCAGATACTGGTCGTCATACCATATGCCATCATCTTGCCAACGCGAGCTTTTCCTCTTCAATATCGGTTCTTCTTAGTCGTGGAACCGTGCCGCGGGTGAAATGGCACCTGAATCTCTCAACGACACTCGTGCCGCCGAGGTTTGCATCATGCGCAAGTCAGATAATGATGTGCACATGGTTCCATCAGCCAGTTGGACCGCTCATGTCGGGTCCAGCATTCTCGGTAACAAAGCATCGACAAAGAAATCAAGTTCTCAATTATCGAGTATTGAACACCTTGTCTTGCTCTCGTCATTTAGTATAGGAGAAAAAGTCACTCGAAAAGCCCATATGATTTTCTTCGAAATCGACGCGAGCTGTATGGGACTTTCGAGACTGCTGATCTCTGATTGGCTCGTGATCAGAATCACCTCGGCCGCACGAGCACAATACATCGACTATTGAGCCACATGGAACTTTGCTATCAGATACACTATGCGGCATGGCACCAGAGGCAACTCGTATTTCTTCGTTTTTGAAACAGAACCTCCGATCCTCAAGTTCTCGGCCGCGTCATGCTTCATTGCTCACCCCATCTATTTCCTTATGCTTTTACAAAGCCTTGGTTCTAGTACGGCGGCCAAGCAATTGTCACCTGCCCTGAGTTCTGTATCCTTTCCTGTTGTATTGTTTCAAAGTCTTTAGAGCGGGAAAAGGCTGAACATGGTTTTATTGACATGTTCTTAAAGAGAGCACAGATTCAGACACCTCATTCTGTCAACACAAGTCTCGGTTGCCTTTTCCTCAGTCTATATCACCATCAGTATTACTGGTAGAATGCTCCCATTATGGCTCATACTCATATCGGTGTCTCTATGTTCAGCATCCGAGCGCCTGCAGCCCCACACCGCCCTACTAGCAAGAGAGCCTGTCATCACACTCGCTCCGCGAGCAGCAGCGGCCTCGCCAACTTGCTCCCACGAGGCAGATCCAGGCAACGCCTGCACATCAATCGCGAATGCAGGCTGGTGTGGTTGCAACAACGAACAACCTATGCGGAAATGACCACCGGCTCAGATGCACCTTGTGACTACAGCACGCTTCCTTCTCCTACTTCCTGGAACTGTGCATCCAGCACCATTACTGGGTAAGTTTCTCTCCCAAAATCTGATCTCTCTCGCCGCGCTTTCTGGCTCAATCTCGTATATACTAAATGAAGATCAGCGGGCCCATCTTATCCACTGCCACCGATGGCGCGGTAACGATTGCCCTCCCATCCGGTACGTCGTTTCGGAGTATCACCTTCCAGCCCGCGGGGGTGTTTATTTTGCACATGAGACATTTTGTTTCGGGGGCTAAAATGACATCTTGAGAAACGTATGCTGACTCCCAGATCATCATCCGTAGCCCTCCAAAGTGCCATCGTCAGCTACGCACAAAGCGACACCTGCGCCGCCTCCAAAGCCAGAAACAAACGCAGCAGCTGCGACGTTGGCACCTTGGGCGCCGACGTCATCGGTCAAACCGGCACTGGCGGCCTTTTCAACGACCTCATACAATTTCCAACTGGCGCCCAACTGCCCCCTTTGATCCCCGCTGTAGCAGTCGGACTCTCACAAGTCGTAACCGCCGGACAGACAATCGCTCAACTAGCCGCCAGCAGCTCGCTCCTTCAAGTCGTCGCCGAGATGTGTTTATGGATAGTCTACGAACAGCTAAACAACCTTTTGTTACCAACGCAGCCTCTAGTGATTCCGGAGAGCGACATCTCAACTTCTCGACAACCCACGGCATCGACCCCTGAATGCCCAGATATCACCGCAGCTCCGAATTGCGACGATTGTGGCGGCGATAACGGAAAGCAACTCTGCATCGGGACCTACAACGCTTATACAAGTTGCCCTTGCTACCATCCTCTTGATCTAAAATGGGCGCCCTTCGATGCCTCCGAGTTTGCAAACATGGGCGCATCATTCGATGCCATGACAGCTCCAATGACAACCACCTCTTCATCTGCCGCTCCTGCTGAAATAACGCCTATGCTCACCTGCCAAAACTACGCCACCTACTATGACGGCTCATGTCAATTCTATTCCGTGAGCGGGCAAACGGTCAACGATACCGCAAACGCATTCACCAACCAGTACCCGAACGCCTCCATGACGTCGACAGCCGGCAACATCACACAGGCTTATGGATCCAAGCCGTTTAATTTGATGAATGTAGGCTGGATCGCCGGATGTACTGGACCGAGCCAGGTTGTGCAGTGTCCGGTTGCGTCGAGTCAGTCTATTCAGTCGCTGGATCTGTTCAGGGGCGCATTCTATGACTGTAAGTGACTACACGCCTGGCTCTGGGCTACCTCCCCTGGTACTATACGCGTGTCGGAAGAGCGCAGCTGACGAGTCTCCTATCCCCAGGTGTAAACAACGGAACTGGAGGCTGGTACGATCTTGGCTGCTTACGTTACGGGTATTACCCGACTCTGATCAATTTTGGTTCCGCGCGACCCAATGCGGCAATTTTCTTTGAGGTGGGAACGTACTGTCCCAGCTGAGAGCCGAATAGTATCATTGTTCTGTCAAACTGTTTCCTGTCTCGCTGGGATTGATTGTACCAACAAGGAACAGTGATTTAGTATCCTTGCGGAGATTTGACTCCATTGTTCCTCCTCACAATCATTCGCTTCGTCCGTGTGGCGCAAAAAAGGATCGTTGCGAATGCAGCGTTTCAGACTGGCTTGAGTTCTCAAGCTCTTTGATCTTCAGCAACGGATATGCTGTTCGAAATGGAGTGGTATGTGTTTCAGTAGCGTCATCTGGCAAGCAACGATTTTGAATAAATGCTTTCGGCATCGGGGAATAACGAAGCTCCACCAACATCATCCACTTCGATATACACTCCCCGCACTGCCCAATTCCCTCTTTGTCCACTCGTAGAGCTACCTGTTGATGCAAAGTGAAGCATTTGGAACTAGGGTAGTGATGGATTCGATCTCGGGGGAAATTGTCATTGGGAAGCGCAGAGCATTGGCTCTACTAGTAAGACTAGAGCGCTCTCGCAAACAGCAAAAAAACAAAAACAAAAAACGGACAGAAAATATACAGAGAGGGGCTCACTATAATTCTACATTACGGCTAGATTTACCTATTGAGAGACTTGCTGAGCCTCCCTCACGCAGCTGTGCCGTCCGCTCGCAATCAGATCCGGTGCCTCCGCACGCGACGATGGGGCGTAAGAGCACACTCAACATCCTTTCTTGCCTTACGTATGCTGCAACTCCTTTTCATCACAGCATTTTGTTTCCTTCGCAAGCGCTTCGAGAGCACGTCCGCATCGTGCTGGCTGTCCATACGTGCGCGTACGCTTCCTCGATCCCTAGGTGCCTCTATGCTGCCTTTCCTGGGCAGTTCAATCGAAATGTAATTTCCCAGGCAAGAGAGCCTGCAGCTTCGGCGACCGGAGTGCGCTCTCGACGCAGGTCTGGGATACACATATGCTGCAACCCTAAAGCGTGCAGCAGCACTTTCATCTCCGATACACCACCTTTGCTCCGTCAATTGTGACTTCATTATACATAGAAGACGCCCAAGATTCTCTTTCCTTTCTACTGCCAAGCTCAGTCGTTGAATGGGCAACTTCAATATGCGGATCCAATGCTCTCGATATGCGCTTTTCTCAAACCTTATCATTTTCGCGCAGCATGTTAGTTGTAGCTTCTGGGAAAAGATAACGCGGAGTCCTTCTCAGGACTTGAATCTTGGCGACTCATCTCAGCCTATTAGGCTGCTTCCCAATCATACCTTTGCTGCAAATCAGTCTGTTCAGCCATCTCCAAGTTACAGCTCGGGCTGCCAAGCGTCTATCTGCACCATACAAGTATCGGTAAGTTCAGGCTCTGTTCCGTGATTTTGCAAAATTCTGAGGTAGACTCTAGTCAGTGTCTCTATACTATTGGCCTCAAGAGTCCACCAACACGGCTTGCCTCGCCACAGTTCCTAGCCCAACCTCAGTCACCATTCCCTCTGGATTAAACCCGTAATTCTTCCATTTGCCTTGGTCAAACCAATATGCTAATTGATCACAAGCATATCTCCAAGCGCATACGCCTTGTTCTTTTCCATCACCATTAACAATGGCTGCGGCTCAATCTTAGCAATACACGCTACCTCCACTGCATCCTTTGCTCCAAACCAGCTATCGACGTTAGACAAAAGTGGTACTCCGCAGTCTTTCAACCTCGGTGATCTCCCTTGTCCTCCGTCGAGTGTTATATTAGAACCCGGGAAATCATTCCAGCCTTTGTTTTCATGGCAAAACCAGTGGCCTGATTTCGCCGATCCTTCAATTGTCCGAGATTGCAAAGTAATGGCCGGCCTCGGCGGTTGGCTAGATCCTCCGCACGCTCTTACCTTGGCAATAGGAGGCCTCGGATCACCTGGCAAACCAGGAAGTCCACACCATGGCCGCCTAAGAAGGGTGCCAGCGCATGCACAAGCGACATCTTGGGTTCCAGCGAGGACTACGACGGCGGCCTAGCTGACCGGTTTTTGGCGGCAGAGGAAGTTCTTAACTTTGGCGGCAGAGGAAGTTCCGATATTTTTGATAGAGCTGTGATCTTCATCTTTCATATTGTCAATAATCTACCCACTTTATCTTCGAAACTGCCGGCGTAATCTTTTGCATGCCATGCCCAGAATCTCGCGGCGTACAGAAGAAACGGGATACTTTTGTAGGCGATCTCTCACTGCTGCCATGTAGGCCCACCCGAGACTGCCATCTTTTCCCTCCTTGGTGGTATCCCGAACCCAGCCTCCTCCAAATTCGTCGAAAAGAAGATATGTAAGACAGCTAACGGCGATGTCTTCTCGAGCATTTGGAAAATGTCGGGAACCGAAGTTTTTGAAATATTCCTGTGTCGTGTAGTGGACCAGCCTGACCGCCTCTGTTTCTGGATCGATGATTACCAAACCACAGCAGACTGAAAGTATATCTTCGATCTCGTCGAGGTTCTCTTGATCGAACTCCGATTCTCCAACTTCTATTGCCAACGCATGGCGTACTCCAGCGACTGTCAACAACTCGTAGGTGTATTAAATCCAGGTCAATGTCCGTTTCGCGAGATCTCCGAAGCCAGGCTTTTGGTCTTCTATTCTCTGCATAGCTTGCTCGTATGCAGTTTTCAGAGCGTCAGTGCCCTTTGGCAAGTTTTCAAGAGATTTCATGATGCTTTAGAGGTCGTTTTGTCCGTCAATGAGTCCATATGCAACCGAGCCAGCAGAAACATGCCATCCACAACATTCACTATGGAATCCACTGTGCTTTCTTGCAGCTGAGGATTTCCCATGGCACATCTAGCCAAATCATTGAGATGCCCCTGCACAAATCTGCGAACATCCTCATCGTTGGCGCGGATTTCCAGACACAGCGGATCCCGCAATTCCCGGGATATGTGGGGAATGAAGCGTGAAGTCACCATCACATTGAGTGTATGGATCTCTTGAAGCGCGCATAAATTCGACAGCAACGGTTGGCGGACTTGAATAGACAGTTCATCAACTGCGTCCGCGACTATGTAGACTTGAGAAAACCCCGAAATCGTAGATTGGAGTAGGGTGTATATCTCCTTTGCATTCGGGCAGGTCCCGGAGTTGGCGTGGTGGCGATAGCACTTCCTAATGTCTTCGGGAATTGATGTCTGATGTTGAAGAAGCTGTTTCGGAATACTGGCAATCAAGTTGACAGGTGTCTGTTCGTGCTGCTTTCTGTAATCGCTGTAGATGTAAGCCACGGAGATTTTATCACTGCAGAGCGTTGATAGATGGTTTATGACCGTGGATGCCAGTATAGTCTTCCCTGCACCTGGCATTCCTCTGCAGAGTAACGTCTTTCCTGGCGTGCTCATCCATGTCTTAAACTCCGCTGAATGAAGAAGCCATTGGCCTGTGCCTTCTTGCCGTCTACCGAAGAAGACATCCTGCTGTGCAGGGAAATTGAGGGTCGTCAGCCAATCGAACAGTGCATGCCGCTCTCGTTGGTCTTGATCCAGCTGTAAACTTCCCATACGTTCATGCAGGGTAGCCACACTCTCGGCCGCCCTTCGAGATACCTCCCTTGTGAGACTAGAGTTGTAAGCGTCCAACAGCGTAGTGTTCGAGATTACACGAGAGCGAAAGCCTCTGATGGCATCCTGATCCCAGCGTATTTTCTTCAAGGCCTTTTCCGCCTTGGCACCTATCGTCGATGATTCTTTTCCGAGACTCTCGTACTTTTCAAGGACGACAGCAATCTCTTCAAGAAGGCTCTGCGTTCCTTCCATCAACGATGACAGATCGCTTTTCTGCTTCCCGCTGAGCCGACACCGTGATGAATTTTGTGCAACATCCTCGAGAACGAGATGGAGACCAGCAACTCTGTTGAAGCGTCCATCATCATAGCATACTCACTCATTGCGAATGGCATTGAACTGATCGGAAGAGTCTCGAACTTGGCTCCAAACACTGCGTGCAAGCTTCGAGACCGCTAAGATATCGCCAACGCCGACGCCAAAAGACATCCTGGCTTTTCTTCGGCAACGAGGCTACAGTTGATATGTGAATAACGATGAGACAAGCGATATACCAGATCAAAAATCATATGGCAATGTATTTCTAGTCGTGGCAGATGGGGCATGCGATACTGGGATACTGGGAAAGGCATCGTGTTCAATCTGATCATGGAGAGTCAATCATCGTGCTGACGTCGCATTGCATGGTGATGCAGAAAATATTACCACTAGTGGATTCAGATAGGTAAATGTAGAGATCTTTGGACTACCTTACGTGCATTACCGAACACAGTACTCGTAATTACAAAGATAGTATGATGAATATGACTTCGGTATTTAATCACAATTTAACAAAATGAATATTGTATCTAAGTATCACAATGCTCTTTCTCCTTTTTTTCCTTTTTTTAACTCTGTTGCTATATAATCAGGATTAATCAAGGTTCGACTTCGGAGGTTACTTTACGATTCCTACATGTAGTAATTCCCTAGCAGATGCAATCGCCGACAACTCCGACCCTCAAAAATATCTATATCTCATCAAAATTGAACGATAAGTCTTCAATATAGCACGGATTATAAAATTCTTAAAGATTGGGAAATCGTACTCCGCGCTCCCTAATTTACTTTTTCAACTTTATATCAAACTCTTATTGAATACTGTCAGGGAATTACATCTGGGGGTAAAACCGAGTAGTAAAGTAGATTGCACTTCCGGGTATCTATTATTACTAGAAAACGCAGTTTACTAGAAAATGCAGTTTTTTTAAATCCGATAAATCCGGCGCAATATCAAAATATCTACTTCTTATTAAAATTCTATAATAACTGGGCATAATGATAATAAAAAATACTGATCTTCTGTTGCTAGCGATATTAAAATATCGGAGAACTTAATTTATCGTTTTTTGAGCCTTATCGATCTATCTAATCGTGAAAAAACCGTTACTACCTCTTCTTCTTCTATCTCTTCTTTCACTACCTCTTCTTCTACTACCTCTTCTTCTATCACTACTTTCTTATCTTCTCTTCTACCTCCTCTTACGCCTTCTCTTACGCCTTCTCTTATATCTTCTCTTTTACCTCGCTATAACTACTATAGTAAAGTAAGTATTAATAATATTAATAGATCTAATATAGAAGATATAATAGCCTTTTTTTTAATTAAACTTCTATTTCTCTTTATATCTTTAAAAATAGCTAGTTCGAGATAATATATATTTCGAAATTACTATTTAAACTATTTTATAGCGAATTAATTCTTTCGCTATTAAATAATATTAAGATTTATAATCTATATTTTATCTTAATATATTTATCTATATTTAATCTTATTCTTTTTTTACTAATTTATCTTAATAAGATTATTATTAATAATTTTTAATAAGATATTACTTACTAGAGCTACTGACCGAAAAGGTATAATATATTCTATGGGATATTCCATATCAAGTGATATCATATCGTACCCGGGTATGGTATGGATAGGGTCGGATACCATTCCATTTTTCTGGTATGGGTTCGGGATCTTGACGGGATATACCACGGTATGATATATCTGTGGTATCATACCATGGTATGATATATGTATGGGATATCCCGGTTGGGATTTCGATATTTAGAAGTATAAGTAGCTATTCTAGTCATCATTCTGGCCAACAACCATGGCTACTACTACCATGGCTACCCCTACCATGGCTACCACTACCATAGCTACTATATGATAGTAGGCTATTTCAATAGTAAATAGTGGTAGCTATGATAGTGGTAGCCATAGTAGTGGTAGCTGTTAAAATGTCAGGTATGTGATATATAGAACGGACGGATCAATTCTCTAAAACCTCTCCGGGGCCAGGTCCTAAATATAGTACAAAATTAGGTGGCTGGAAAACATGGTGGCTGGGATGCGCGGGGGTCACATTTCGATGGTAGGTATAGTAGTGGTAGGCATGGTAGTGGTAGGCATGGTAGTGGCAGGCATGATAGTGGTAGCCATGGTAGTGGTAGCCATGGTAGTGGTAGCCATGGTAGTGGTAGCCATGGTAGTGGTAGCCATGGTAGTGGCAGCCATGGTAGTAGTAGCTATTATGTCGGATTTATCGAGCCGTTGATCAGAATGATGACGAGAATACTTCTAAATATAGAAATCCCAACGGGATATCCCATACATATACCATTCCATGGTATGATACCACAGATATACCATACCGTGGTATATCCCGCCAAGATCCCATACCATACCAGGTATGGGATCATGCAAATATCAATATCCCATACCATACCAGAGTATGGTATGGCAGGTCAATATCCCATACCATACCATACCTTTTCGGCCAGTAATTAGAGCTAAGCTATATACTTTATTAAATTTTTCTAATAATATAAAATTATAATTTCTAATCTTAATTTACTAAACTAGCTAATTAACTTACTTTATATTTATTAGAGTAAATAATATAAAAAGAATATTATTATTAAATATTATAATTATAATATTTATAGATATACTCGATAACGATTTTAATACTTTAAGTTCTAATTTATTAAAAATAACTTATAGTTAAATAAGAAATAATTTACTCTTTTATTATATATATCTAATTAGTTATTTCATTATAACGTTCTTTCTTATTATTTAAATTAATTAAAAAAAGTTTATTTTATTTATTATATAGCTATCTTTAAACTTTATATTTTTCTTTAGATATTTACGATATATAATCGCTAAAGATTTAAAAAATTCGATATTTAGTAATTAAAGAATATATATAATATAAATAGATAGATATAAAAGAATAATATTATTATTAATATAGAACTAGATTACTTTAATATTAATATATAATATATATCTATTAAATATAAAAAGATAATACTATTTTTTAATAATTTATTAAATCTATAATTTAAAGAATCTATAAAAAGTAAATTAGAAGCTCTATATATAAAAAGATATAACTTATATATATCTAATAAATTACTCTAGATCTAACACGTTATTTATTTAATTATTTTCACTTATTATAATTTATATAATTTTATTCTCTAAAGTATCGTATTAGATCTTTATTTAACGCTTATCTTTAAAGATTATAAAGAATATAAAAAGTCTCTTAATAGCGGAAATATACTTAATAAAAGATATCTATTCTCTACTTTTATTCTAAGCTTTATATATCTATAAATTATACTTAAAATAAATAACTCTTATTTTAGCATTAGAATTAAGAATACTTTCTTTCTTATCTATATTATATATATTAATTATCTAAATATTATACTTCTAAATTACTAACTCTATAAATTAAAATTATTATAATAACTTCGCTAAATTATAAATTATAGTATATTCTTTATCTAATAACTAACTAAATTAACTCTATAGATCTAAATAATATCTTAAAAAGCTTATTACTTAATTTATACTTAATTTTTTATAATTATTTTTTTCTATTAATATTTTTTTAACTATATATTTAATAGAAATAACTCTTAAAGATTAATTTCATTTTATTATCTATAAAATCTATAATTTTAAAACTTACTTTTTAGTAAAATTTAATTATTATTTATATTAATATACTTTTTAATAAAAATAAGTCTTTTTAGTAATATGTCGAGTAAGAGTAATAGAAATAAGACTATAATATAATATAATTAGTATAAAATAAAGCTTTTTTTTTTAAGAGTTTAAGCTAATTTTAAAGGCTATAAGAATTTAATAATACTCGTTAATTATAAAATCTTAATATATATATTTAGATAGCTCTTTTAAATTCTTTAAAGCTATTAATAGAGAGATAATAAGAAATATAATTCTTTCGCTATAGTGAGATTATAAATTAATAAGTTTATTTCTTAACTATCTCGATTACTTATTCGATAATTAATTCGTATAGAGAGACTTATATATCTATTTCTACTTTAGATTAATAGACTTATAGAAAGACTTATAGATAGACTTATAGATAGACTTATATATAGACTTATAGACTTATAGATAGATTTATAGATAAGCTTATAGATAGACTTATAGATAGACTTATAAAAAGACTTATAGAGAGACTTATAGAGAGATTTATATATATACTCTTATCTAGATAATAAAAAACGTCTATTCTTTAAATTATTATACGACTTAAGAAAATCTTAGATATTATATTTTTAAACGAATTAAATTTATTCGAAATCTTTAGAAAGTATTTTAAGGTCTTATTAAAAATTAATTACTTAGACTCTTATTATTTAATAATAACTTTATATAGATCTTATCGAGTATACTCCCCTTATTATCTTATTTATAAAAATCTTTTAAAGCTATAATATAATATTTATAAGCCTTATTATCGCCATTAATAGTCTTAATTAATATCGACTATTTAGTATATTATAGAGAAAATTATTAAAAGATTATATAATATTATTTTAAAGTTTAGTAACTCGACTTAACTTAACTCGAGAGTACCCGATTTAATTAGATTATATTATTTAAATACTTTTTTTTTATAAAATTTATAAAATATTAAGTTTAAAATAATTAACGTATATTAAAATACCTCTTTAGCTATCCTTCTTTTATTTATTAATTAATCTTCTTTAAATTAAGGCTTCTTAACGCTTTAATAATATATTTAAAAAGAAGTATTATAGCGATCTAGAAAGTATAATATTATTATTACTATCGTCGATATAAGAATTTCTTTTTTACTTCGTAATAAAAATATATATTATCTAATTATTCTATAACTATAAAACTCACCTTATAATAAATTTTAAGGCGCTCGAAAAAGTAATATTTAAAATATTTATTATCTTTATAGAGTCTTAAATAATATAGAGACGAGTATACTAGATAATTATAAAGAAATTATATTATTTACTTATTTATAGTACTTATAGTACTTATAGTACTTACTTACTAACTTACTTACTTACTTACTTACTTACTTACTTATATTATTATAGCGATATTCTAATCTCTAATCTAGCTCGATATTAAGTTATTACTCTTAGAGACTTATAATTCAAATTCAGCTATAGTTAAAAAAAAACCCTATAGAAAAAATATAGACTTCACTCTAAAGAAGTATACTATAGACTAGTATATTTTAGTTTTTAAAGCCTTTTTTCTACTACGGCTACTCTAATATATATATATTATAGAAGTATAAATATATATATAAGTTAATAGCCGAGTTTTTATATATAATATTCTTAATTACTAGATTATATAAGCTAATTATTATTTCGAATATTACTTTATTATATAAATCGCGAATAGAATTTTAGTCTTCTAGCGTCTCTATTCTATTAAAAACTTATATATATATATATCTTATAATCTATATAGATATATAGTTACTTCTATAAATTTTATTTACTATAGTAAATACTAGTTAAAAAGATATAGTATAATATAAGATATTAATCTATTATATTATACTCTAATATAATATAAGTTATTAAGATTTATATAATTCTATATCTAGTATAATATAAAATCTTAGCGATATATACTACGATATAATATATCTATAATATCATATTATGAAATAATATATATATAAGATATCTCGACTAAAATTTCTATATTTAGATATATTTATTCGATAAATTCGATATAATAGTTACTATTACTATAATTATTACTATTATAACTATTTATTATAGCTATCTCTATTATAACTATTATTATTAATATCTATTACTATTATATCTATTACTATTATATCTATTACTATTATATCTACTACTATTATATCTATTACTACTATATCTATTATCGAAATATAACCTCCGCGTATTCTAGTTACTATATTTTTTAGCTATCTAATTTTATACTATATTTAGAATCTGGCCTCGAAGAGATTCTAGAGAATTAATTCGTTCGTTCTATATATTATATATCTAATATTCTAACAGCTACCACTATTATAACTATTACTATTATAACTACTACTATTTATTATTAAAATAGTCTACTATTATATAATAGCTATGATAGTGATAGTTATGATAGTAGTAGCTACGGTAAGGGCGGCTATGGTAGTGGCAGCCATGGTAGGGGCAGCCATGATAGGGGCGGCCATGATAGGGGCAGCCATAGTAGTAGCAGTTATGATAGTGGCAGTTATGGTAGATAATAGTGGTAGTCATAGTTGATTAGAATAATGATTAGAATAGCTACTTATACTTCTAAATATAGAAATCTTAGTAGGGATATCCCATATATATACTATTCCATGATATGATATCACAGATATACCATACCGTGGGATATACCGCCAAGATCCCGAACCCATACCAGAAAAATGGTATGCTATCCGACTCTATTCATATCATACCCGGGTACGGTATGATATTACTTGATATGGAATATCTTATAAAATATATTATATCTTTTCGATTAGTAATAGTAAGTATATATAACTACTATAGAGTAAATATTAATATTAAATATAATATTTGCTCGCTAGTAGCTAAGCGAGCTTTTTCGTTTCTAGTTAATCTATTATCTTTTATTTAAAATCGCTTAATCTTAAACTCGAATAATAAATAATAGTATATATCAATCACGATATCTATGAATATAAAGCTTCTATAATTACTATAGTATTATTATTATTATTTATTAATTAAGAAGTAAGTTATAGTTAAGATAGATAGTTCTAAATTCTTTTATTAATTATTACTTAGTTAATAATAAGCTAATTTATATTATTTAAATTCTAAACTATACTATAAAACGTACTTTATAATTTATACTCTTTAGAATATAGATTTTAATACGTTAGAATAGGCTAGACTATATTATCGTAGAAAGTAAGCATTTTAATATTACGCCGGATTTATCGGGTTTAAAAAACCTGTATTTCCTAGTAAACTGCGTTTTCTAGTGATAACGGGTAAATACGAGTAGCGGGCTTTCCTGTGTTGTTTCTTGGCATTAAGAAGATCGCATCCCCATTTTGATATGTAGGTAGTGTACTTCGCTTCGATTGAAATGAAAGATGAAACAAAGTTGCATCGGGGTATTTGTCATAATCACAATCTCGATTCTCGAATCGTGTTCATGCTATCAAATTTGATTATGCATTGCAAGAAAGCGCAGAAGTAAGATCTCCTCGTGTTCTCTTTGATGGAAAGAACAACAACAATCTATCGAATGTTTATATCTCTAACATCTTCCTGAAGGATACAGTCGGGGTGCAACTGGTAACGTCAATGCCAAAGGTTTTCTACACACGCTCGTCGCCAATGGAGTAATGTATGTACGCTTAAACCCGTCGCTGAACTTAACGCCGATGTGCGATATGTGACGCAATTTTGTTCTGTCCGCGGACATCAGACTTGAGGAAATCCACCTATCGACAACAGGCCCCGTCGTCAAGATGATCGACCCTCTGCCGCAGCCTCCAGCTCTCATACGTTCCCTAACACAGCCGATTGCGGATGCGCTGTCCCTCAAAACCCTGCCCCTCCACGGCCACGAAGTCCTCCTATCATTCACTGCCTACTACCTGATGGAGAACTTCTTGGCTCCTAGATTCTCCGCCCAGTTCTTCGCGACGACCTACACGTCCCTACCACCACGGACCAAGATCAATTGGAACATCCGCGTCGTCTCAACAATCCAAGCAATCTTCATTTGCGGCCTGGCATTCTGGACAATCTTGGCAGACAAAGAGCGGGAAAACATGAACTTGGAGGAGCGAGTATGGGGATACACAGGCGCGCTCGGCATGACGCAAGCGTTCGCGGCAGGATACTTCATATGGGATGTCAAGATCAGCGCTACGAATGTGGGGATTCTAGGATGGGGATCGCTGGCGCATGCGGTCAGCGCGCTGCTGATTACTAGCTTGGGGTTTGTAAGTCTCCCGATGCTAGAGGATGACAGCTATGGAGGCACATGGAGCTGACTACTGCGAGTTACAAGCGTCCATTTGCCAACTACTACGGTGTGGCGTTCGTACTCTACGCTATGTCGACACCATTCTTGAACCTCCATTGGTACCTCGATAAGTGCAACATGACCGGTGGAAATGCTCAGCTAGTGAATGGCGTTGCGCTCTTGGCCTCTTTCTTCGGGTCCCGGCTTGTTTGGGGGACTTATCAGTCGGTGATGGTGTACCAGGACATTCTAGCGATTCTCCAACAAAACGTTGGCGAGGGACTGGGGTCGAGTACACGGACCGGAGACTCAGGAGTGATGCGCTTTTCCGATGGAAAGGTGCTACCGCTCTGGCTGGCCTACACTTACTTGGGCAGTAACACTCTCTTGACCGTGCTCAATTTCTACTGGTTTGGGAGAATGGTAGAAACAGTTACGAAGAGGTTTCGCTCACCACACAATAAGAAAGCGAAGCTTGCGAGTGAATAGCAACCGAAGCCTGACGTGGAACCCTGGAGTAAAGTATTGGCATAAGGGCAATGATTCTCTGCAAGTTGGGTAGGTCAAGGCCGCCTTCCAACCAACCCGGTACTCCGTCTTGCGAGATCAAATCTGATGTGCTTGATGATGCGCAGGCGGAAGATTTTCTGGGGTTATTTGCAATGAAGGATGATCATCATCAGGTATTCGAGGAGTGTATTGACCTGAGTCCTGATGTGAACGGTGCGGAGTTCATCGTTATTGGGCTGGAGGGGTGTTGAAGTTGAGCTTGAGGCCGGTTGCCCAGGAAGGGGCGGGAGATTTGATTGTCGAGTTGGGGACTGTCGAGTAAAATGGAACGCAGGCATTGCCGGTTGAAAGCTGATGTCGGAGGCTGCTGGGGGTGAAGAGGTACAATTTTTTGGGCGAAGTTCTGATGTGCCCGAGTCCGCTGCCATTGCTGTGAAAAATACCGAGCTGGAACGGTACGGACGTCTCTGACGAAGTTTGGCGTTTCTGAGGCCTTTAAAATATATCAAAGAGGTACGTGCGGGATACAGCGCATGTCCAGGTAATACTTGCATGAACCTTGCTGTCACGAGCAGACCGCTTGAAGACCAGATCGTTAAGAAGGAAAGACCTCATAGGCTAAGAAGGAGCCTCCACTCTTTGAGCGGAGTTCAGGGAAACTTGGCAACGAACGAGTCGACTCGTGGTGGGGAACACGGTTGGAAACCTTATGCTCGGGGTTCATTATTTACGACCTAGTCTATGTTACGAATAGTCGTTACGGCGATGGATGTTTTAATCTAAGTCCCTTGAATGCGTCGTCGTACCCAAAGCCTTCGTAATGAGGGCCCCGCCAGCTGACATCACCCAGAGACAAATGTGGGGGGGTCCCGCCATCTTCTCATTCGATGTGGGGGTCGTTTCTCCTTTCTGTCTTGCTGAGAAGTCCAAATACCACAGGTCCTTACTTTTATTGGTAAGCCTGCGCCAGAAGGTTGTGGTCTTTTGGACTTTGCGGTCCAAGACCCCGAAGACCGGCAGGAGGGTTGGGAGACAAGCGCTGATGATACCAACGCTGGTTTCGACGCTGGACCAATTGATTGGGGTGACGGAGGACCCTGAAGTTTTTCAGTCTGTCAGGTGGGTTGAAATATGACGGAGAGAGCTTCACGTTACGGTACGTTAGGGTGCTTGATGGGTAAGGGACTTACAAGTAATGTCCGAGAGGTCAACGTTGAATACAAAATATGTCCTTGCTATGCTTGCGCCAATGGTGCTGTGTTGCCCATAGTGTGAGTACAGAGTGGAGTTTAATAATTGCGGTTGGCTTACAATGCACCCAGCAAAAAGATACCACTCAATCCGCACTTCCGCCTTGGCGAGAGCTTCAGCGTCCAAACGATGTAAAGTGGTAGAACGAGAATCCAGACATCGAGCGTTACATTGAAAACAGACGTGGGAATGAGGTAGGCATTAGTATCAATGCAATGTTGCTCCTGATAGAACGTATCGAAAACGAAGGCGGCGCTTATGGGAGTGCACCTGAAGATAGCCGTGAAAGATTTGCCAATAAACCAGCTGATGACGAGGGCGCCGGTCACATAGAGGACTTTCCTGAAGCCTGTGCGCGATCCGAAGAGCCGTAGGTAGAATAAGAGAATGGCGAGCTTAATGGTGGAGATACTGAAGGGGTAGTTGACGTCGCTGGCGTAGATCATCTGCGAAGGACGTCAAATGCCAGGCTAGAAGGAAGTCTGTCGAGATGCGAGGAACGTACTTTCAGCAGCACCATTCTTTGAGGTATTGCGACAAACCGGGCGTGACGTCCCATGCCATGATGAATATCTACTTTCTGTCAGGCGATGTATCATGTTGCAAGATTTCTTCCAGTATACCAATGAAGACCATGACATAAGTTGCATAGGAATCCAGCTACAAAATGTGAGCAAGGTGAATAGCCAATGAAAAGCGGTCATACCAAACTGATCACAATGAAAACGTCGCTGGAATACAATATCGCCGTCAGTATCGCCTACTTTAAGGAGCTTAATCGAGTCCAGGTACAAGTTTTGAGGGTAGAGACCCGCAAGAGATGTCTCGAGACTCAAGATCTGGGTTGAAATTCGAAATGTGGGCTCAGAAAATACGTACTCCCACCAGAATCTAGCTGCAGATATGCGTCGCGAGATCAGACGCATGATAACTGCGACAGTGGATAGGATGATCAAGGTTATGCTATATGCAAAAAGAGATGTCGACCGTTCACTAGATGCAGCGAGCATTTTGACAGTTGTGAAGAGTCGGAATTCAGCAAGACAGCAACAAGGGACCACCTTTTTGCAAAACGAACGTTGAGGTGGGCAAAGCACCATTCTGTATGAACGGCGGAAGTGGTGTCTTCGCTAGGCACCTAATTTCAGGTGCATGGCACGCCGCCCGAGAATATGCATGCCACTTTATAAAGGCCACAACAACTACAAATAGTCTACCAACCATACTTTTTGAAACGCAAATTGCGACTAACAGGACGGAGTTTTATGCACGTTGACGACGCAACGGGTGTCAAAAGGTAGGAAACTCGAGACTTAAGAGGTATGAGGGTGGGGAATTGTGCCCTGCTGCGCCGGACGGACCACAGCCTCGCCCCTAGCATCGAAAAATGATCACGCCTCAAAGGAATGCTTCGAGCAAACACCGCATAACACTACAGTTCCTCGAAACGCTGGGTATCACTGAACGATCCGTAGCATAATATTCTCAATCACAGGTGAGATAGACGAATTGGAGTGAATTAAGTACGAGTAGTTCATAGCGACCTTCAATCTGTTGATTTTATCGGGTAGTCGCCGTGCTTGACTGCTTTGGCGAGAGCATCGGAAAGCGCAACTGCGGAATCACGGGGTTTGTAGGAGTTTGCCACTGGAGTCAGATAGAAGCAGCAGCTTACTTTCTCTGCAATCTTGTGTATACAAAGAAGAGCATACTGGCCTGTCGACTGTTTTTACCAAGGAACATAGATAAGCTAGTCCTTATAGAGCTTACCTTAGACAACATCGCGACACAATTCAGGTAGGTATGGAAGTACCAGCAACCAAATTGATGAGGCTGAGTTCTCGCGGGTAGGAGGATTGATTATTCTATGAAACAGGAAGCCTGCTGCAGGAGGATATGCCCCTCTGCCAAGCACCTATACCGCATATAGCTAGTCTGTATAAGGCTGCGATCTTCGGGCCAAAACCTCACATCAACAACCTCGAAACTCGTACTGTTACCCTATTTCCTCTCAAAACCCCATCATGCCAATCTAATGACCTTCGCTCCCCGTCTCCTATCCCTGCTCCGTCCCCCCACATTCGGTATCGCCCTTGCGGTTGTCAAATATTTCTTCATCGGTCATTTCTTCACAACCCATGTCGGCTGCTTCGCCCTCACCGATGGACCTTCTATGCTACCTACGATCAATGTACGAGGAGTCTGTGTATACATAGACCGCACATCTAGAAGAGGTCGGGGGGTCAAAGTGGGAGATGTTGTCGATTTTCAGCATCCGATGGTGCAGGGTGCGGGGGCCATAAAACGGGTTATGGGGATGCCGGGAGATTTTGTCGTGAAGGATAGAGGGGGGAAGATGATGATACAGGTACGAGGTCTATACCTAGAAGATTGACAATTGTCAGCGCGGGCTTGGCAGGAAATCGCTGATTAAATCTTTACATTAGGTGCCTGATGGTCATTGCTGGCTTCTAGGGGACAATCTCCGGGAGTCGAGGGACTCGAGAGTATACGGGCCGATTCCTTTGGCGCTGATAAAAGGGAAGGTTATCGCAAGGGTTTCGCCGTGGTCGGATATGGGATGGATTGAGAACGGTCTACAACGCCCAGAGGAGCCATGAGAGCTGCATGGCTTGGAACATGGTCTCACAATGCAAGTTTTCCAAAATACGGATCATAAACGCCTGAGGGGAAATTGCTGGTAGGAGGTCGTGTAAGAGCTACACGATAGTCCGCTTCTGATAGCTTCCATCTTGGACAACATGGACGGAGAGTGCAGACGGAACTGCCGCTATCATCATGGATCCAGTCGAAGCCCACGGTGAGTATGAGAGAGGGCGTTGGAGGAAATGAAAAGCAGCGATGGCGGAAGAGAAAAGCAGACACGTCCACAAATGCCGCCAGTTCGCGAGGGACGCTCCCAATGATACGAACATTGTGAGTGAAGGGTTATTCGGCTGCCTAAAGCTCTCTTTCCTGTTTTCCTCTTTTGGTGCTTCACGAAAAGATCCGGGCCTTTGTGAAGCCAAGGACGGACTAAGGGGGTTTGAGCAGATTTGCACGCAATGGCCATGGCACTGGGCAGCAACAAACATTCAATAGAATTAGCCGAGGAACAAGAAATGCATAAAGACCCAGGAGGCCCATCAACTGTATTATTATGCCACCCTCCTTCCGTGCCTTTCCAATCCTTCTTTTCCGTCCCCATGGCAGCCACAATGGCCATGGGCCATTGAAGAGCCGCCTCTGCTCCGTATCATCACGACAAAGCAACCAGTCCGTGTCGTCTTGTCCCCCCATATGACAGCAGGCTGAGAGAAAGATAGCTAAATACCCGACAGACAAGATCCTATCACGACGTTAGTGGGCTCGGGGAAGCTGGATAGAGCTAGAGACTGACACTGTATAGATTCGGTATGCGAGTCTAAGCTGGCGGAGATCGGACCACGTCACCCGCATGGAAACGTAGAGTCTCTCTAGCGGAGGAATTGTTGCGTGATGCTTGCTGATTAGCACTGGCGGGCAAGCCTCTCATCGGCTGGCCATAGCAGAAGTCTGACATTCTGCACCTGCAAGCAGGGCGACGAGGTCTACGGCAACGAAGGTAACAGCAGCATGGTCTGAAAGTGCACGATTGATAGACGGAGAATGTCTTCGTTGCTAAGCTATCTACAGATGCAAGGAGGCCTCCACCATCGCCAAAAATACAGAAACACAAGGAGATGAGCTTGCTAGTTACCCCTCGAAGGATAATTCGAGCCCCTGCGACACGACAAGGTCAAGCTCGTGCAGGAGAAAAAAGAAATGGTAACGCCAGCGGTAGTGTAAGGCCGGCGACACAGAGGAGATTGAAAAGAAGGGTGCAAAGCGTCGACCGGCGGCAGTGTAAAGCCGGCAACACATGAGGGCAGAGGCAGTGCCTTTGTGTCCCTTTGCAAAGGGTAGAATAATTGAGTGCAAAGAAAAAAGCACCACTACTGAAGAACCTGTTGCCAGGCCCGGGGCCTAAGGATTGTTTGGCTTGTTTGGCTTGACATCACATCTGATAGACTACGCTCTGTCAGCTGGTCTAGCAGGGGAGGGACTCACCTGAGGGGAGAAAAAGAAGAGGGGGAAGTGTTCGGAGAAGCAGGCGGTTTATGCAAACAAGGGCCAAGGCGCCAATTTAGCTCATTTCGAGAGATTGGATACGTTGAAGTGGAAGGCGCGAGGTTTGGGAAGGCACAGAGGGACGATTCCGTGAGATGTTGAGAGGTGATAGGAAAGAGCGGGCAACGGCAATTCAACGAACGCGGAAACACGGCAGGACCATCGAGAATTCTCAGGAAAGGTGTACGGTTATGGGTCTTCGCTCAGCAGCAGGCACCAACGGCTGACCGAGCAACATAGCGTGGCGAAATCGCACTGCACACCTACAACACAGAAAGGACGCCGCGAAACGATGCGCTCGACGTCTTCTCATCAGCTCATCAGCTAAAGCCTACTCCTAGGAACGCAGCGCTTCGAAGACTCGATAACTTCCACGCCGGTATCAGTCCGGCAGCATCTGCCGGCGATGATGTTCGTCATATAGGGGACGCTGTTGATCAACAAGACAGCGCCACGGAGCGCCAGGAGACAGGCTCAAGAAGGGGAAGTCTTCCCCTTCTCGTTGCCAACCGATAGCAACGAGAGGGGCATCGTTGTCACCGCTTGCGGTGATTGCGGAGCTCCTGAGGGAATCCCGCGGAGTAGTTTCTCGACCGAAGAATGTCAGCTCTGGAGAAGAAAGTAAAGACTCCTGGAGTCAAGACGCAAACATCTGCATAAAGGTGGCGTAGAGCGAAAGCATACAAGAGCCAGTCGACGCGATTAGCATCTCGAGGAATGAGACTGGCGCGTCTCGTTTTGAAGCCTTCTCATCTGGTCATCTGGGTTTTGTCTCGCTGGTTTGTTCTCTTTCAATGACCCATAGCCCATAGCCATGTGTCTGTCAATTAACAGATGAATAATGCCATTTTGGATCGGGACCTATTCAGCAAATCATGCATTCCATATGCTTGTCTCCATCGCATTACCTTCGTTCCCAATCCTCTCATCTCTCACGACCCCAAAAGGCGCTCCTTGTGCCTCCCAATCCACCTCGGCATCCTCCCATTCAACTCATATCCCACACCCGCGGCCTCTCGACCTCCAATGCAGGCCGCAACAACTGCCTCTCCTCGTCCGCCGTCAGTGGCTCTATCCACCTCCCCACACGCCGTAAATCCTACAGCACAACATTTGTGATTCTGGGGCGTTAATCTATCTAGCTGTTCGCTATCTCATCGACAAGCTTTTAGTTTCTCCATTAAAGTCTAGAGACCTGCCATCATGATAGGACGCTGCTAAGCTAGTACAGAACCGGGCTGTCTTGCGGCGGCATAGGTACGCTCATCATTTGTCTCTGCTTACGGACAATTGTATCTCGACCAGGATCTTTCAAACCAACATAAAAACTCCAGCTTCGCCGGATCGTGTGCTCCTGTCAGCATCACGTTTCATGATATATGCTTGAACGTAGGCTGGCTGATGTTTGTAGCGAAAATTGAAAGCCGGTTTTGATTACCCATTTATAATTAAGACGACTGTTTGGCACAGGCACAAGACATTCAAGGCTTTAGAGGAACCAGGGCAAGTCGTTAGCCGAGTGAATATATCTCATATGCCTCGAGAATTCCCTTGTATTGTGCTCGTTGCGTCGCCTTACATCTTCAACCTCTCTCGTCATCATGTCTTCTCTCAGCTTTTTCGTCGTTCTGCTGTTCTTGAGCTCTCTTCTCGACACGTGTTATGGACAAGGCAATCCATTGAAACGTGTAATGACTCTGGACTGTAAGCGATTTTGGGACATCTTCTTGTAAACCGCTATTGGACTGGCATGACCGACCTGGTGTGGAGGAAGAATCCTGACTCTTGACCTGAATTAGCGTAACGGAGGTCATTGAGATACCGTCGGTCCTATATATTGCTTCCAATATCGATGTTCATACACTTCCTTCAATACACCAATACAAAACGATCACGGCTCAGCACCTTCATCACGCCCAAGACGCGTATGCCAGCGATTCCACCTCTGCGGGCTCAATTCCTTGGTACATTCAACGCCCTTGGCAAGATCCTCCAACGACATGCTCTGTCCTTTGGCGTCTCGAGAATCGGGCACGGCTACCTGTGTTACGATGGAGCCCGCGAACATTAGCACGCCGAACCTGTTTTCGACGATCAGTACTCTCGTAGGAAGGGTCACGGCCCATTTTCAGAGGAGCGTACCCTAAGAGCCAATTCCCTAGTGATGTGGTACCGAGGTTCGTGGCACCGGAAAGTCCGACCGCTAGCTGCACGACGACTGATCCAAACTTTCCGCTCGCGGCTGAGAGACCGTGGCATGTGCAGCGGTACCGCGTTGGAAATTGCTCCGCTGGTATCTGTGTAATGGTCAGCGAGACCTGTTGAGGAAAATGGGTCAGTATGTGCCGCTTACAATGAACGTGGTAGCATTGGCGCCAAGATTGAAGAAGAAGTTGCAAAAGAAGTAGAAGATGACAAGGGCCCAATGATCCCCTGAACTCGCGGAGCTGAGGAACGGCTTGAAGGTACCGCCAGCCACAAAGAGGATGATCCCTAGGACAGCGAAGAACAGACTTTGCACTATTACGGGTCTGCTGTGTTGGATTACGTAGATCATTGCGATGCCGCCCAGAAGCGCCCCGAGGGATACGACGATGGACGAGTGCCATGAATTTTCGTAGAGTAGCTCGAAGACAGTACGCGTATTCGGGCTATCGGCGTTCAAGCCATCCCAGAGTTTTTGGATCACCTTGGGTGAGCTCATTCCGAGGCCGTAGAAAGATACCTGATACAGAGTCAGCCCCTAGGCTCACGACTTGCTGGACGACTAGAGGTGTATTTATACATCCAGGAGGAACCATGAAGTCATAGTACCAGCGAGATGAATCCAATTGCCCTCTTTGAACATGTATTTCTTGAACCCAGACCACCATTCCTTCATTGTGAACGGGGGTGCTCCGGACTGAAAGTTACCGCGAATGGATCTAACTGGCGGTGGATTGTAAGTGGTTTCATGGTAGTGAATTTGAGTCGGCCTACGGGGAATCTGTGGACTTCTAGGGATCGGTGAGACACTTCGGTGTCTTGAATCCATGTTTGTACGAGTAATCGTTATCTCATTTGAATCTACGTCGCCGTTTGTCTGTTGCATACTAGTTGTGAGTGGTTTAGGTTCGGAAGAGAGTTGAGTGGAATGTGCAAGACCATCATCTGAGCCCCATTCATGCTCTTCTTGGGACACAGTTGTGGACACGGGGACGAAGAAATAGCCTTCCGTGTCCTTAAGGGCCTTCTCCCCTTCCAAAAGCACGTCCAGCGTATACCGAGGGCTTTCGGGTATCTGCAGCCGAATTACCATTGCTACCAGAGCAGGTATACCTATCTGCTGGTCAGTCTTCAATAAAAATTGTATGCGTGAAATATTTCCGTGCGCAGTCGCAGAAAATTACCTCCAATTCCAACAATAATCCTCCAAGTCCGATCAACAGCTCTGTAGCATTCCACGTCCAAGGTCTGGCATTTTTGCACACTCTTCATCTGGTGCCGAAAGAGATAGGTCACAACCAAAGCCACGAGGGTAGCCACGAATTGACCAAGAGGTTGCATGAAGAACAGCGTTGCCAACATCGAAGAACGATGTTTTTGCGGTGCGAATTCGCTGGTGATGGCAGCACTGAGAGGATAGTCTCCCCCAATGCCGATACCCATGAGAAAACGCCAGATGAACATCCACGCGGCGATGCTCATGCTCTGGTATGATCCGTCTGCTGAAGCGGCGAGGCCCAAGGTCGCCCATAAAACTATCACAAGGAGCAGCCCGTACATCTTCTTGCGGCCGAAGAGATCACCCAGAACTCCGAAGATGACTTGTCCAATCATGCTTCCTGCCAGAGTCGCGCAAAGCATGGCGGTATAAGTGCCTTTGGGCATAAATTCTGAATCCCAGTAGACCAAGGACACCATAGGAAGGACTGTGTTGACGGCAAAGATGTCGTAAGCGTCGGTGATGAAGCCTGCTGCTGCAACGAACACAACGTATTTCTGGAAGGAGGCTTCATTTATAATTTCGTAGACCTGGTTACGACGGTCTTCGAGATCCTAAGAACGAACGGCGAACTCAAGTCAGCTCTGGTATGCTTGGTAAATACACGACTGTACACTTTGCTATTCACTCACAGGCACATGTTCAAAGTCTTTCGTCCTGTCTACTATGCCCCCGAGCCGAAATGGATGACGCCTCGAGGGCGCTTGCGAAGGCATTGGGTTAGGGGCTCTGACTGAGAAGGACTGAGCTCAGAAGCACCGAGGGATGTGGATCGTGGCGGTGATAGCTGTCTTGAAAACGGTGTTTGGATTTCTAGCTGTCATCCGAAGCGTCATCGTTTCCTTCAGGCTCATATATCTCAAGGCAGAGTTTCATCTTGGCTCTGCGTCGCATGATGACGAGGCTCGCGAGGCTACGGTCTCGGATCATCCGCGCAGAAGCCCGCAATGCGAGATGCATTAGCTCGCTAAGCCACCCCCATGCTTCTCGCAGCTGGTATTTAACGACAAGTTCGCTGTATTGAATTTATGATACAAAGCCTTTGATGACGCCAGCTCTCAATCGTGGCGAATTGGATCTGAAAGGCCGCGAGCCTCGCGTTGTCATCACCGATTTACCAGCTATCGCGCAGCCTTCTAATAACTACGTTGATGTCTAGCCACATAAGGCAGTAAATCCGAGGCTGTCACAGGTTGCTTTCCCTTCGCAACCTCTGAGCCTGGCCAATGCCGGAGGAAATCTTTTCTGTCAGCCGAATTGAGGAACTGGATGATTAGGTATTCTAGTTTTTCTTCCTTCTTCGAAGGAAAGCTGAATTTTATTCTCTTGCTGGAAACAGGTTCTTTTGTCTCTGAAACGTCGTCCTGTTGGTACTCAAGTCGTATATCAGTATTCCATGGATCTATCCATTTCGGATCAATTTTTTTGAATAACGATGCTGCAGGAACTTGTAAGCCTCCCGATAGAAGAATTGTGATCTCGACCTGATGTAGTATCGCTTCACATGAACCTAACATTAGAAATGAATTGATTAGACTTACCTGGCTCTACTTGATACTCCTTGGTATACTTAGTACGAGAATTCGGAAAGAACATTAACTTAATGCATTCCTGCCCATCGTCTGAACCCCAGAGCCGTAAGTCTTGCTTGGAACTTTCACGTTCCCTATTCGAAGTAATATGCTGGGTTTTCTGAATCGAAAGAAGGTGACCGCCGTATATGGCTTCTTGGAGCCAGCGAAAGCCTTACTATTGAGTCAAAATTGATCTTCTTCAGGGCAAAAAAATGTGAGACCAACTACTATCATCCTCAAATAGGTAATCTAGATGACCACTGAACTTCCATGCTTTCCGCGCGTCATGGAGACTCAATTCTTGGGTTTCCAGGAATGATATAGCGAATTTTCGCTCTGGGCTCAGACTGGTCTCAGTGTGAGGGATTAGAGCCATTTCTGGCAAGACTATAGACAGCGTGAGCGTCTAGCGTGAAGAAACACTGGGGATCCATACCTTCATGCCGGATGATATTAGTTTCGTGATTTAAGCGCGTGGCCTCTATTAGCAAAGACCCGGAGTCTTGGCGACGAGTTTGGATCTCGCAAATCCAATGGCGCTCTATTCGATCGCAGTAGCTAAATCTCACTGTCAGCTGCGTTATTCAAGCTAGACTGCGATCACTTGCGTCAAGAGCAATCAGGCTATTTCACTGCCTAGAAGCTGAAGAAATAATGTACCGTTTTCGTGATATTATCAAGGAAAGCAAGCTACAGGTATTGGGGCAGTAAAATGAGTTGTACGTACACAGTCGCTAGGTTCCTGACTTTGATATCTTGTTCGGCTGGAGATGGTATCTTCATTTCATGTGATGACCAAGAAGTCGGTCTGGATGATTGAGGCTCTCTCGTGTCTAGAGACATTGGACTCAGGCTTATGGGGCTTGAACGCCTGGGTTTGATATCCGGAACCTCGATCGTAGATGCTGTCGCGAGGTCTATGCGCCTTGAGACTTTTAATTCTGGGTAGTCGCCGGAGTGTTTGCTGCTAATTACTACCCATTTAATGTGACAAGTGGTGTGGTTAGCCTGAAGAAGGGTTGAAAAGACGGCCATGATATGAGGATCACACTCCTCTGGCCGATAGAGCACAAAATAAGCAACTACCAGTTTCGCTTCAGTCAATGTCAGTTGCAATATCTTCCAGAGGCTCTGTACATCATTTAGCAACGCATCATCTCTTGCTTGATATTCCTGCGACCAGTGGTGGAAAGCATTGACGTTGTTCTTCTTCTGGTAGAGAACCTGATGCAGAATGCTTCGAGCGATGAAAGCGGCATCTTTTTGATACCCATTTGGAGACAAGCAGAAAACATACGCCAATGCTCTTTGCCGAGAACTTCTCTCGACTTTATCGGTCAACCCGTTGATCAAAGATATCATGAGCGGGGTTTTCCCTTGTCCTTCCTCTCCATGAATCCAGAGGAGTGGGTCGTCGTCCCTGTTGAGCCATCTGGTGTAAACTGCATTTGCCTGAACCCAGTTGTAGGTCTCCTCAGGTGCCAGATATCTTTCTCCAATCTGTTTTTGAAAGTGGATTTTGTCATACACGGGACTGCTTACAGCCAAGGCGCGCAGTGACTGTTTCATGTTGTCAGAATCAACCGCTGCGAGTCTTGAGTTAGCCAATTTGTTGTAAGAGGAATATATAGATGACTCGTCATACGTTCTTCGCTGATGGCCATAGGTCGGGCTGAAGGACTGAGTCAGTAGATGTACAAAACACAAATTATCATAAGACAATCTCACGATATAGACGGGCTTTAGTACGATGAGGAGCTTTATTGATCATTTCAACAAGTTGAAAAACCACACTCTCGTAGTTTGGGTCTTTTGGAGAGGAGTATCTATGAATCTGGAAGTGGTCGGCGTCGAGGCCAAGGCTTGATATGCCGTCTATCGTGGAGCTATGTTCGTCTACGATTACTACCTAAAAGACAAAGGCTTGGTCAGCCTTTTTGACATTGTGCTTAGAGACTGGGGAATTAAGGCATTTGAGAAGAGGAGCTCCCTTACAAGACGCGCCAAAGGCGACTTGATGATTCGCCCTACATTCGACTTTTGCTTTTCAAAGAAGCAGAATGATGGGATGTGTTGCCGGTTGATTATGCGAACAAAATCGTTTAGCTGGTCCTTCAGAGCTTGAGAATGCGGGGAGACCATTTCGTAGACCTTGGAGTTTCCTAACCCTACTCCAGAAAGGATGTTGCCGATAATATCGGCATATCTTTGGGCTTCTGAGCCTCGAAATGGCGTGCCAAGAAAGATAATACCAGATATACAGTCGACTAAATCCCCATCATGATGGTCGGAAGACCCAGTCTTGATTTTCCACTCTTCTCTGAAGAGCCTCACTGTGATTATAGCTCTTTCAATTACTATGCCACCGAAGCAGTGGCAAATGAAAACGATTGGTCGCTGAGGAAAGTCCTATAGCAATGTATGAGTCGCTGGTCGTATGACAGTGGCGCAGTCACGAACCTGCCGCATGTTGCGTATGGAATAGAGAAGGTCGTTAGCTATGGCCGAAAGGTGTTGAACTATGCTGTTTTGCCCTAGCCATTGAGAGTTGTAAGAAAATCGCATAATTCTTGCCGTTTTTGCGGCGCTTGGCAGCATGTCATCATGTCGCCACAGCTTAACTGGGGGCTAGTGAGGGAGAGGCACAGCACACACTTATGGTAGGATAGCCGAGATTGCTATATTGGAAAAGCCTTGAATAGACGGTATTCCCATCTATTTTTTACTTCTTATTCTTATTTCTCTCGTCGTAAGAAGAGGTTTTTTTACACTTTTCTCTTTTCTAATATTAGACGAAAGTAATTTTTTATTTAAAAAATATATTATTCTTCTACTTATATTATTACTATTTAGCTACTATTAATAGCCTTTAAGCATTTTTATAAGTCTATCGTAAAGACTATAGCTATATATTAAACTATTATTATTAGACTATTACTTTTATAAAAATTACTTATTAAATTTATAAAAGAGCTCTCTAATAAACCTTTATCTCTCTTTATTCTCGCTTTACTATATCTTTTATTTACTAGCTAGATTCTTTAATAAAATTACTTACTTTATTAGATTTAGTTTTTAATTTCTATATCGCTTAATTATAATTAGCTTATTAGAAACTCGAATAAAAATAAGTCGATAAAAATAATATACTTTAGAATTGAGATAAACTCGCTTATATATAGAATAAGATTAATAAGATACGTAATTATCGCTAGTTAACTACTTTTATTATATATTAGCTTATACTCTAAGCTCTTATATTATTAATTTATTAGTTATTTCTATTCGCCTTATCTTCTTAATTATTATCTATATCTTTTTAAATCTTATAATTAACTTTAGTCTTATCGTAGTAGAGAATATTAATATTATTTAAGACGAAAGTAATATTATATCGCTTCTTCTTATATTAAAATAATAACTTTATAATAGTCTTTCTTCTTCTTTATTTTAAAGCGATAAATTTAAAATATATTAAATAAATCTATTATAAAATATTCGATATTAAATATCTTAATAAGCTATCTAATAGTTTTATTAATTATCTCGCTAATAATAATAAAAAAATTAAGAAACTTAAGAAGTTACTTTAATATTTCGAGGTCTATAGCTAAATTATATATTTCTTTACTTATAAAATAATTATCTTACTCCTTTAAAAAGCTCTATCAAATTATTACTATTATATTTCTAATTTATTAACTATCTATATCTTTTAATCGATATATTATTTTTATAAGATCTTCGTTTATAGTAGAATTTAGCTTTATTAAGATAATATTTATATATAATAAATATTCGATAATTATTTAGAAAATCGAGTCTTAAGATAATAACTCTCGTCGATCTAATTAAAAGTTTATTTTTTATATAATTTATATTTAAGCTAGACTTTATCTTAGATATATCGTAATATTACTCTTATATCTTTTTATTAAAATACTTAAAACTTTTAATTATTTTATTATAATTAATTTAATTATAATAAATTATATAATTCTCGAGACTATTATTACTTATATATATATAATATATATAATTAATTATATTCTATTATTAATTATATTAATAAAGTCTTTATTAATATTATCTCGCTAAATATAAAATTCTCTTTTATCTCTCGACTATAATTAATATCGAGAGGTTTTAAGTCGATAATCGAGTTATTTTTATATATATTTATCTTACTAAATAAGTCTTTACTAAAAAGATATAATCTATTAAAAAAAGACGACTAAAAGAAATAGCTAAAGAATTATCTCGATAAGATATTTATTAATATCTTACTTATAATTATCGCTTATAATATTAAAATAGACTATTAAGATTTTAATTAATTACTATTAAATAAATCTTATCTTAATATCGCTATAATACTTGAAATATTATTTAAAAATCTTTAAAAGTAAAAGAATAATAATTATCTAATACGATTAGATATAGAATTCTTAAAATACTTTATTTTATCTTTATTAAACTTTATCTCGAAGTATAATAACGACTAGAGAAGAATTTATAATCTTTTCTTTCTATAATTATAATTCGTTAATTATTATATTTATAAGATTTATAAAGTACTTAAATATATTATATTAAATAATATTATCGATATTTTACTTATCTAAAATAAGAGTATAATTATAATTAAGCGAGATCTTATTAATTAGAATAAGTATAGATACGATATTAGTATAAGTAAGATAGATAGAATAATAAGACTATCGAACTATATAGGTGAGAAGGAGGCATAATATAATAGAGAATATCTTCTATTAAGGCACTAGGCCATAGAGCTAAGTAATGTGTTAAGGGTACGCTCATAATATTATCCCTCTCTCTCAATAGCTATAACTCTCATAGCTGATAGACCGGAGATGCACGCCCATTGCTTACCCTATATCTTTAAACATTCATAATCCGTATAGACTTCGACCGAAGAGCGATTTTCTAAAGAATATCGAATAATTTTAATTCGTTTAAAAATACTATATTCGAGATTTTATCGGGCCGTATGCTGGTCTTAACTGTATTATGCCTGCCATATCCATATTATCCTTTAGAGATTCTAAAGATATTAGCCATATCTTACCTACTATTAATAAGATTCTCCGAGTTCTTCTTCTTATCTAATCTTCTTATTATAATTCTTTAATAAAATTAAAGAAAATTTAACGTATATATATTATTCTTTAATATCTATTAATAGTCTAGTCTAAGAGCTTTATTATAGATTTACTCTATATCTCTTATACTCTTATTATTAAGTTTATTCTTTATTTTATTCTTTATCTTAACTCTATTAATTCGTAGATATAATAAAAAGATAGATAATAAGAATTAAATATATTAAATATTATTTAATAGTAGACTTACTATATATATTATTAACATACTTAGTAAAGAGATCGAATTATAATCGTTTCGAGGCTATTTCTATCGCTATTATAGTAGACTTACTATAGTATTATTAATATACTTAGTAAAGAGATTATACGTTTACTACTCTTATAGTAGACTTACTATAATATATAATAATATTTATAATAATTTCTTTCTACTATCAATTCGCTAGTCGTATAAATAGTCTCTATATCTTATTTATCCCTCGCCCACAGTTTTAGCGAGTTCGATTCGCTATAAAATCGAGTTACCCGTCTAGTAAGCTTATCTAGAGATACGATAACTTAACTTAATATCTTATTAAAGCCTCTACTAGCGTATTTCTTTAAATTCGTTCGCTAATTCGAATAAAGTAAGTATCTAATTATATTTCTCTTCGTCGAGTATACGAAGAAGTCTTATTATAATGTTAGGACTAGTATAGATACGATACTAGTATAAGTAAGATAGATTAAGAATAATAAGACTATCGAATTATATATGTAAAAAGGAGATATAATATAATAGAAGATATCTTCTATTAAGACTCGCTAGCTATAGGGCTAAGAAGTATATTAAGAATATACTTATAATATTATACTCTTCTTTTATAGAATTATATCTTATAATTAATAAATAAAAAGATAAAAGATATATATATACGCTTAACGTCTAAAAAAAAAAAAAAAAAAAAGTAAAGAAATAATCGTATCTAAGATTTTTAATATAATATCTTTCTTTATAGACGATATTAGAGATAATAATAATTCTCTTTATTTATATTATAGCGATATCGCTAACTCTTAATTTAAACGTATATAGAGAGTCTAGCTGAGAGGAAATTAATATAGTATAGCGAAAATTATTTTTATAGATATAGAGGTAAATAGTAGTAATTTTCGAATTTATATCTAAGCGAATAAAATATCGATGAAATAATGCGATATAATTAATTAAGAGCTTCTAAATCGAGTCGAGCTATAAGCGCTAAAACTCTAATCTAATATTAAGTAAGTTTCTTTATAGAATACTATATAATTAATATTAATAAAGACTATTAATAGTAATAGTAAGATTTATAGATAATATATTATAATTTCAAAAGATATTTAGATATCTATAAATAAGAGAAGCTCGCTTAATAAGCCTAACATAAGATTATTATTAAGTAATATAAATCTAAGAAATTA